TCTTGAAGATAAAACAGTGATTTTATTAAATGTGTATGCCCCAAACGATCCTAGAGAGAGAATACCTTTTTTCAATAATTTAATGAAATGGGTTAATCATGAGCATTTAATTTGCGCTGGAGATTTTAATGAAATTCTTGATCCTTCACTTGATAAAGGTCCCAATAACACAACGTTTAACATCCAAAGTAGTAATGTGTTAAACACCTTTCTTCACAAAAACAACCTAATCGATATATGGAGGTACAAGAACTATGACAAAAAAGAGTTTTCTCGAATACAGTCTGTATTAGGAGTTATTAAACAATCTCGGATTGATTTGATATTTGTTTCAAGAAACCTTATTTCAAATATTATCAACTGTTACATTAGATATTCCTCTGTGAGTGATCACAATATTGTTGTATCAAGGTTAGACTTTTCTCCTATAGAAAGGGGTCCTGGTGTATGGATTTTTAATAATCAGCTTCTTGACGATTGCGCATTTTATCAAAAGATCACTGAAATAATAGAAGAGGCAAAAGGGTGCCCTTTACTTAAAACTGAACCATTGATATGGTGGGATAACTTGAAATATCAGTTCAAAAAGTTTTCCAGGTACTATGCATCTAAAAAAAGCAATCATGAAAAAGCTGATTATTTTAAAATTCAAAATAAGCTTAGAAAAGAATATCATAAGATATCCTCCATTCCTGGCTATGTATCTTCTGTTTTACAATCAATAGAAAATGAGCTGGGGACATACGAGATTAACAAATGCAAAGGAGCTATTCTCAGGTCAAAGGCAAAGTGGACTCTCGATTCCGACAGAAATACCTCATACTTTTTAAATCTAGAAAAAACAAAACAGCAAGCATACTCTATCAAAGAATTATTTAGAGGAGATGGTACAATAGCCAACAACACAGAGGATATCTTGGATACTGCTCAACAATTTTACTCCTCTTTATTCACTGCTGAACACTGTAATGTAGAAAAACAACAGGACATAGTTAATAATATCAAGGACAAGCTTTCCGAAGATGAGAGGAATTCATGCGAAGTACATATTTCTCAGAGTGAGCTTACCGTGGCACTCAAAGGTATGCAGAAAAATAAATCACCAGGCCCAGATGGTCTAACAGTTGAGTTTTATTTGAAGTTTTGGAACATTTTATGCCCCTTCTTCATACAAGTTGTTGATTGTGTACACAAAGAAAACAGTCTTTCACGTACCATGAAAAAGAGTATAATTAATTTATTTTATAAAAAGAAAGGTGACAAGAGAGACATTAAATGTTACAGGCCTATTTCATTGATAAATGTAGATTGTAAACTAATATCCAGAGTGTTGTCATTAAGATTACGAACTGTCATGTCCTCAATTGTCTCCCCTGAACAATCTTGCTGTGTACCAGGAAGAGACATAGCTAACAACCTTCACTCCCTAAGAGATGTTATAGACATTGTAAATAATCGTGATGATGATGATTCATATCTCATCAAAATAGATCAAGAGAAAGCTTTTGACAGGGTCTCACATCAATACTTATTTCAAATTCTCAGAAAATTTAACTTTGGAGATTTCTTCATTTCATGGATTAAAATTCTCTATACTGATATACATAGTTCTGTTAAATGCAATGGCCATTTGACGCCTTATTTTCCTTTAACTCGTGGTGTTCGTCAAGGAGATCCAATGAGCTCCATGCTGTACGTTTTGGTGTCAGAGCCACTTAATCTCCTAGTTAAGAACAATCCTGAAATCCACGGAATAAGTATCAACAATGACATTTATTCTTTGATATATCAACATGCTGATGACACTTCAATCACTGTTTCAGATGTCAACTCCGTCGAAGAAACATTCAGCACAGTTAACTCATACTGTGAAGGAACGGGAGCAAAAATCAACATCGAAAAATCAGAAGTTTTGTTGTTGGGTAAAAATAACCTTCGTGACTGTTCAATCAACGTCCCGGTTAAAATAAAAAAAAGGTTGTGTTGAAATATTAGGCATTTATTTCGGCAAGGATAAAGCAATGTGTGAAACGTTGAATTGGAGAAAGAAAATGGACAAAATTCAAACATTGTTTTATTCATGGTTACCTAGACAACTTACTCTACAGGGTAGAGTAATTGTAATAAATATCCTCATGAGTTCCCGCTTATGGTATGCGTTTACTGTACTACCAATCCCACAATGGGTGGAGCATGGATTTACTCATATGTTTAGTAAATTCTCGTGGCACAATAAAACTGCCAAAATAACATCAGATACCTGTATTGGTGTTTGTTTAGATGGTGGTCTGAATATACCAAAGTTGTGTTTTAAAAAATATGCACTGAGACTTAAGTTGCTGAGGGCTTTTGCTAATTCCCAGCTTAACTGTATTTGGAAACAAACAATGGTATATTTTATGTCACATCTTCTGAAAATGAACTTGGGAATTCATGTTTTAGCTCTTGAACATAATAAGGGTGATTTACAAGACATAAGCCCATTTTATGCTGAGCTATTATCTGCATGGAATGAAATTACTGGAGGGAAAAGACCCTTGCTTCAAAATGTAGATGATATCATGAATCAACCACTTTTCAAAAATCCATTAATTACTTTCAATGGAAAAACATTAATGTTTCAATCGTTTATTTCAAGTGGAATTATTTGTATTAAACATATTTGTTTTGAAGTTATTCCAAAATCCATGTCCTCACAAATTATTGTAGATATTGTACATGATACTTTACCTGAAATGGACATAAGCACTATACAACAATGCTATGCAATCATTTTATACGCGCTTCCATCAGAATGGAAAAATATCATTTTGTCTGACGTTGGCAAAAACCTTCCCTCTGGAGACATCTTCTGCACGATTGATGGACAGGACATGTCAGTTGCAGTTTTTACAGCTAAATATTGCTACGAAATGTTCAGACAAAAACACTTCAAAAAGCCAGTTGCTATTTATTTTTGGAATAATATTGCTTTGGACATTAATTGGAAAGATATGTGGCTGAATGTGTGGCAGAAAGATAAATCTATACAGTTGGATTTTAAAATTGCTCACAATATTATCTTTACATATGATAAACTGTGCAAAATTGGATCGTCAAACACTGATGTTTGTCCTGTGTGTCAAAATGAAACAGAGGACATTTTTACATTTGCTTATCTTCTGCCAAGAGTTATCTTCCTTGCAGTCTCTATTAATTGACATGTTGACAGATGTTTGTCAAGATTCAGGGTTGAGTCTTGGACAATTACACCTCTGGTTACTGTTTGGATTCCTGCCAGAAAAGAAGTTGTCATGTAAACATTCATGAACATTGTATTGTTAATATATCGCCTTGCTGTATTTAAAAGAAGAGTTATTATGAGTCAGGAAACAATCTCATTTCACATGAAAGCTTTTTTCAAATCTTTATTCAAAGATATATAATGAGCAATACATTTATCACATTAGATGGAAATGAGATTGTTCTCAAACCTCCTCTAGAATAGAAACATGTAACGTGTAAAGAGCATGCTCAATCTGCATTCCTCTTTTTGTATCTTAAAATATGTGTTTAGATAATCAAATGTAAAAAAACTATTTCTCATATTTTTTGTCAGTAGATATGGAATGTTATCCACTGCCATCCTACTTCTGTGATAACCTTTTTATTTTTGTGGTGGCAGTGTCAGCACTGTCTGCGTCTGTAATAAGTTCCCGTGAATAAATTTTATCAAGAAAAAAAAGAGCGTTAGACTGAAGATCTAAAGGCCCCCGGTTCAATCCCGGATTCCGGCACAGAGTGCAGGACTCTGGCGGTTGACCACACTTTTTGGAAGTCAGTTTTATGAATATGTTTACCCCAAATCAAAAGGAAAAGTCACCAATCTCACAGAGCATCTGCAAAATATTTCAGATCAGAATATGCATTAGCTAACTTCATTTCGGAAGAGATGCCTTGACTTTTCCTCCCTGGTGCATTAATTGTTCGTCAATACAATGGTAGTGTTTGTTCAGTGCTTCGTAACCGTCTATATTTACGTCAATATTGTCGTTGGAAAACAATGTTTTCATCACCAGTTTGTGCTTTGTAAATTCCATCAACGTTAAATGCGTGCACTCATTCGTTGCAACACAATAACGTTTTTAACGATGATTAATTAGAAAGGTGTATTACAATTTGTAAAAGTTGAATAATATACTTAGTAGTGCTTAAATTGTTTGTGGTTAAAGCTTTTGTTCACGCGGAAGCCCAGGTTCGATTCCCAACATGGGTACAATATGGGGAGTCCATTTCTGGTGTAAAACCATATTCATTCAAGGGGACGATAGGACAGGATATAACGATAATGAAGACATTTAGGTAATATTGAAAACAATAATGATTACTTTATGTATAAATTGTTAATGCAAGAGATTAAACCAGCCTAAATCTTCTGCCGAAACAGTTTCCACTTGGCGTATAGGGCAAATAGCTGTCGAAATTATATGAGTTTACTTCTGAAAATCAGTGATGACACCAGGTGTTCTCGAAAAGGGTAAGCGTGCCCTGCCCCACCGATAGCACCCATTCATAAACTTTGCATAAAAATGTAAGTAGCTATTGCCTGACGCGGCACAGCAGTACTCCTGCCATGCGACGTCAGCCTTTAAACAAACCAGACAATCAAGTGATGGATGGACCAGAAAATCCAGTGACACGAGAGTACCATTACGGATATTGTTAAAACTACTAAAAATGGTATGTGTGTTTATGTATGTTGAAAAACTGAGGACATAGCTGATCGCATTAGGTTATTATTTATACTCTTACCCCTTTAAGGGCAGTGATACTCCCATACCCCTTTAATAACTGCCTTTAATAACTGCCTACATCGGATTGTTCTAGCTCCATGTTGCGTCTGTGTTGTGGTCCAGATATTACCACTTGCGAATAGTTTAATTACCATGTTACACACAATATCGCCATAGCTTTCTTATCAGGCCGAACGCTAGTCACTTTACTCAAGGTGATATGTAGATATCAGCCAACCTTACCCAGACACGTGACAGACGGATGATAACAGTTGAAGATATTGTAGTATTCATGATCCCAATTCGGACATTTCAGACATACGAGACTTGGGTGTGCCCTACTTCTAGAAGTCGGCATTGGATTCTGTAATTGAAAACAAGGTAATTAACTCCACTTTCTCAATACGTATGGGCATGAGAGAATTACTGACGTTCATGATGACCTTGAACACGTTGCTCTCTATGAGTGTGGCCGTAAATTTTGACGCAACGAATAATTAGATACCTGTCAGGTCAACCGTTTGCACACGAACGTCTGACACATTTTTAATCAAGATATTGGTTTCATTTCCTCATCAGTGCTTGCACAGCATTTTAATTCCAACAAAACTATGTCTTGTGCTGTGTGTCTTTGGCCCATGGGAACTCAACCATCCACTGCCAATGTGTCGTTATACGCTTGCTGTTGTATTCAGCATTACCTTCGTTAATTGGTTGATGTATTGGATTAACATTCACGCATCTTCTGATAATTGTGATACCATGGTGCTTATTCCGGATAATTTGTCCTTCTTTTCCTGACAATGAGCACTAATCCCTAGCCAATCATTTAATAGATACGGTTCGTGTCATTGTCTTTATCGTTTCAACTGCAATGATAACATCGTGATAATAAAGGTTTTATTGTTATCACTAATTGGAAGTGATTGATAAACACATGCTCATGATATATGGGCGGAATCGTACAATCGACTCTGTTTTTAGCAGAGGTGTCTTAGGAATATGGAAAGGATTTTGTCGCTTTTATTGATATTGTAAAGCACAGTGTCCCGTTTACGGAATTGTACATTCATTCTGTAAACAAAGTACAAGTTTATGAATTCGATATACATCAACTTTACATTTTTTTGCTAAAGGACTTCCTCTATCAGTTTAGTAGTTACCAAACAATTCAGATATTGACAATAGATACAATATATCTTATTACCAACATCTATTTAGCGTATTCATTCGCCTGAACATGTCATGTAAATGTGTTAGAGCAAGCAATATGCACCGCGTCTTGCATAATTTAACAGTTACATAGTGGTAACACACAATGAAAGGTCATCCTATTTTGGAAGGGTGAAAGTAAATAAGGATAAGCGCAAAACTTTATCTAAACAAGAGTTTCTCTTCTTACACACTTCGAAACATTGCCAGTCCGCACTCCCAAGAACCGTATACAGTAGACTACGGTTATAACGAACTCAAATGGGCTACTAACTTTAGTGCGTTATAACCGTAGTTCGTTATAATCATATGTACCGTATGTATCTAGCAAATTAGGTTCGTCATATCCGTCAGTTCGTTATAAGCGTGTTCGTTATAACCGTAGTTTACTGTATATTGAAATGTGTTGAACGAGTGCGCTTTCTGTCACAGTTTCTTTCACGTCGTGTTAACTGCATAGCTTATCTGGTGGAATGTTTCGTTTCTGTTTGTTTAACTATCGTAAGTATGTCAGAGATTGGGGTCAGGAGAGCCCTGTAGATAACGCGTTTTGCTGTAGGCGGATGAAAACGCCTGTATTGGGCCTTACCGCTTCAGTATCATAGGAAAAGCTTCGTGATAGTTTTTTCTATTTCTCCCCAAACTATTTTGTTTCATGCAAATTATTATCACATTTAATAAATAGCACGTGGCTGTGATTACTAGCAACATTAGCTATACATTCTGCAGGTTCCCCAACGGGGAATACAAAGGAAAATAGGTGTCTAGTACCCAATGCTTTTATCATTTTTTTTAATTATGTTTATTCAGCAAGGTTACGTAGTTCCGGGTTAGTATTATTGGTCCCACCTAGTTCCGGGTTAGAATTATTGGTCCCACATAGTTCCAGGTTAGAATTATTGGTCCCACCTAGTTCCAGGTTAGTATTATTGGTCCCACCTAGTTCCAGGTTAGAATTATTGGTCCCAGCTAGTTCCAGGTTAGTATTATTGGTCCAACCTAGTTCCGGGTTAGAATTATTGGTCCGACCTAGTTCCGGGTTAGAATTATTGGTCCGACCTATTTCCAGGTTAGTATTATTGGTCCCACTTAGTTCCGGGTTAGTATTAATGGTCCCACCTAGTTACGGGTTAGAATTATTGGTCCCACCTAGTTCCGGGTTAGAATTATAGGTCCCACCTAGTTCCAGGTTAGAATTTACGTTCCACCTAGTTCCAGGTTAAAATTATACGTTCCACCTAGTTCCAGGTTAGAATTATACGTTCCACCTAGTTCCAGGTTATTATTATTGGTCCCACCTAGTTCCGGGTTAGTATTATTGGTCCCACCTAGTTCCGGGTTAGAATTATAGGTCCCACCTAGTTCCAGGTTAGTATTATTGGTCCCACCTAGTTCCGGGTTAGAATTATTGGTCAGACCTAGTTCCAGGTTAGAATTAATGGTACCACTTAGTTCCGGGTTAGTATTATTGGTCCCACCTAGTTCCGGGTTAGAATTATAGGTCCCACCTAGTTCCAGGTAAGAATTATAGGTCCCACCTAGTTCCAGGTTAGAATTATACGTTCCACCTAGTTCCAGGTTAGAATTATACGTTCCACCTAGTTCCAGGTTATTATTATTGGTCCCACCTAGTTCCGGGTTAGTATTATTGGTCCCACCTAGTTCCGGGTTAGAATTATAGGTCCCACCTAGTTCCAGGTTAGTATTATTGGTCCCACCTAGTTCCGGGTTAGAATTATTGGTCAGACCTAGTTCCAGGTTAGAATTAATGGTACCACTTAGTTCCGGGTTAGTATTATTGGTCCCACCTAGTTCCGGGTTAGAATTATAGGTCCCACCTAGTTCCAGGTAAGAATTATAGGTCCCACCTAATTCCAGGTTAGAATTATACGTTCCACCTAGTTCCAGGTTAGAATTATACGTTCCACCTAGTTCCAGGTTATTATTATTGGTCCCACCTAGTTCCGGGTTAGTATTATTGGTCCCACCTAGTTCCGGGTTAGAATTATAGGTCCCAAATAGTTCCGGGTTAGAATTATAGGTCCCACCTAGTTCCAGTTTAAAATTATACGTTCCGCCTAGTTCCAGGTTAGACTTATAGGTCCCACCTAGTTCCAGGTTAGAATTATTGGTCCCACCTAGTTCCAGGTTAGAATTATACGTTCCACCTAGTTCCAGGTTATTATTATTGGTCCCACCTAGTTCCGGGTTAGTATTATTGGTCCCACCTAGTTCCGGGTTAGAATTATAGGTCCCACCTAGTTCCAGGTTAGTATTATTGGTCCCACCTAGTTCCGGGTTAGAATTATTGGTCAGACCTAGTTCCAGGTTAGAATTAATGGTAACACTTAGTTCCGGGTTAGTATTATTGGTCCCACCTAGTTCCGGGTTAGAATTATAGGTCCCACCTAGTTCCAGGTAAGAATTATAGGTCCCCCCTAGTTCCAGGTTAGAATTATACGTTCCACCTAGTTCCAGGTTAGAATTATACGTTCCACCTAGTTCCAGGTTATTATTATTGGTCCCACCTAGTTCCGGGTTAGTATTATTGGTCCCACCTAGTTCCGGGTTAGAATTATAGGTCCCAAATAGTTCCGGGTTAGAATTATAGGTCCCACCTAGTTCCAGTTTAAAATTATACGTTCCGCCTAGTTCCAGGTTAGACTTATAGGTCCCACCTAGTTCCAGGTGAGAATTATATGTTCCACCTAGTTCCAGGTTAGAATTATACGTTCCACCTAGTTCCAGGTTATTATAAGTGGTCCCACCTAGTTCCGGGTTAGTATTATTGGTCCCACCTAGTTCCGGGTTATAATTTACGTTCCACCTAGTTCCAGGTTAGAATTATTGGTCCGACCTAGTTCCAGGTTAGAATTTACGTTCCACCTAGTTCCAGGTTAGTATTATTGGTCCGACCTAGTTCCGGGTTAGAATTATTGGTCCGACCTAGTTCCAGGTTAGAATTATTGGTCCCACTTAGTTCCTGGTTAGTATTATTGGTCCCACCTAGTTCCGGGTTAGAATTATAGGTCCCACCTAGTTCCAGGTTAGAATTATAGATCCCACCTAGTCCCGGGTTAGTATTATTGGTCCCACTAATTGCGGGTTAGAATTTACGTTCCACCTAGTTCCAGGTTAGAATTGTAGTTACCATGGTTTTCTTATGATAATTAAGCTGTTCGCTTGTCACGCCAAAGACCCGGGTTCGATTCCCCAAATGGATACAATGTGTGCAGCCCATTTCTGATGTCCCCAGCCGTGATATTGCTGGAATATTACGAAAAGCTGCGGAAACCAATACTCACCCAACGTATTAATTGACACGCATTGACCCGCATAGACACACGTAAGGAATCTCTTGTGAAAGGAAGCTAATGCATATTCTTATCTTCAATAAAGTACTGATCATATCTGAAACCTTCGGTGTTTCAGGTCACAATGTCTGAGATCTCCCTAGTAACGGACATGAAGGATGTTCTCACATCCTGTCCTGTCTGCTCAAAGCCGTTTGACGAAAGCTACCGTGTTCCCCGTCGAATGCCGTGTTGTGTTGAAGCCGTGTGCGAACCATGCCTGGCGCCGCTCTACTCCAACGGGCGTCTCACGTGCCCACTGTGCCACCGACAGCACAGCGGCTACAAAGGCGTCCAGACCCTCCCCGTGGAACAACTCATCTTGAAAATGCTATCCCAGATGAACGTCAATAAAAGTCATCACCTACCATGTACCTACTGCCCCTTGAACAACACAGCAATAGCTAAGTGTGGCCACTGCAGCGTTCTTCTTTGCCAGGCCTGCTTGAGAACCCACTCGAAGAACAAATTACTGAAGGACCACAGTGTCATCATGTTTGAGGACATCAGGGACCACCGGATGAACGGACCTGGAAGCCTGTCTCGGACCCTGAGTGTCCAGTCTATGAACCTCCTGAGTCAGCTGAAGGAGAAGGACGAGAGTCTGCGGAGTCGGATGGAGGAGCTTCAGGAGTTGCAGAAGAACATTGCCCTGTCAAGGAGGAGGGCGAAGGAGGACATCAATATGTACTTTGATAACCTGGCCACAGAGATGCAGCAGAGGAAGAGCTTGTTGATCTCACAGGTGGAGGAACGGGCTGATGAGGAAGAGACCATTCTTACACGAGTCATCGAGTCAAGAAATGGTCTGCAGGGGAGGATCAAGAAAGTCACCAAGAACAGCAGAAGTCGGAAGGTTAGTATCTGTGGCGGTTCAATAGGAATTTTCGATTCATTGTATTTGTTTATGGATGCTAGAGGTGGAGAGAGGTTCAGTATACAATCAATAGTTTCGTCCTTTGGCGTCTCACACTTACAGCTATGATGCCTGCTTCAGTTAGATCTTGCGTTTCGTTGCTTTGCGTTTACAAATGAGAGATAATGCTGGAAGATAGCTGAAAACATCTTACACACACCAAACATTACATGATAGGGCTTGATGCTATGGGGTCCTCTGCAGCTTCATGCGCAGTGTATGTTTTGCCCTGACAGAAGATGAAGTACATACGATGTTAAAATCAGTATTTTACGAAGTTGAATGTCATTAATCAGTATGTTTTTTGCACCAAGCTGTCTACACAGTATCTGAAATGATTAGTGGGTTGCGATGCTGCAAGTGCTTAGAAAAAAAAGAAGCTATTATTCCGCTGTCACCAGGACCTGGCTAAGTATCCGGAAGATGTTTGAAACGAAGGGTGTCAATATTGCATGTTCTATCGTAGTAATTTGAGAAACATTTGTTAAAAAACAGAGCCTTTCCTCCTCTGACATATGGGACCTTCTCGCCGAGTATCCAGAAGATGTGGAGTTTACCCGGAAAGGTGTCAGCTTCGTCACCTTAAACGCTGAGCACATATCGTCCCTCATCAAGACTACAGGGCTAGTCCGGACTGTCACCTTCCTCCCAGCAGACAAGCCCGAAGGTGTACCTGATGCTGTCATGTACAACAACATCCACGTAGAGGCTGCGGATGGGTATGATGGTGAGGACTCATGTATACTGTAAATCGTGAAATTAACGCGAGCGTGAATTAAATGCGAAAAATGCGAGTGATCTTTGGTGTGTGATTGGATTAAGGTCAGGTTGGATTAAGGTGAGGATTCTCCTGTATACCTGACAGAAGTCACTTTCTTTACATATAGATCCACTGATTCTTGAAGGGGGGGGGGGGGGGGGGGGTCGCATTCATATTGAGTCGCATTTTTGGCTAGGGGTCAGTGGTCGCATTCTTTTGGAGACGCATTAGTTTCACGATTTACAGTATATCCTTGTTTGCAGTTTCAGCAATATCTGTGGTAGCAGTAATTGATGAAGAGTGTGTGGTCTGGTTGGAATTCACTTTGAACACTCAGTACTTCATTTATAATGAGTGGTTAACTTTTTTTACATTTAACGTCGCATCGGCATTATTTCAGCCACATTGCGACCATATGGTGACCCAGTTCTGGTGTATCAGCTTGATGTGTGAGGGATGTCTGGGCTGATGCAGGTCTTTGAAGTTTGTTCTCGGTGCGGTACTCATGTTCAGGTACGGTGCTGACGTATCTAGAAACATTAACAGGGCGATATTGGTATTTGAATCCTGGCACGCCCAAGGGGCATTACTCCACAGTGATTCTTTTATCCAGAGTAAGTAGAACCGGACTTGTATTAAAACTGTATCTGGTAGTGGAAGAGTGAAGCAATGATCTCAGTCATGGGGTGAGGCAGTGGTGGAATGATGCAGTCATAGAAGTGATAGAGGTAGAGTGAAGCAATGATCTCAGTCATGGGGTGTGGCGGTGGTGGAATGATGCAGTCATAGAAGTGATAGAGGTAGAGTGAAGCAATGATCTCAGTCATGGGGTGTGGCAGTGGTGGAATGATGCAGTCATAGAAGTGATAGAGGTAGAGTGAAGCAATGATCTCATCATGGGGTGAGGCAGTGGTGGAATGATGCAGTCATAGAAGTGATAGAGGTAGAGTGAAGCAATGATCTCAGTCATGGGGTGAGGCGGTGGTGGAATGATGCAGTCATAGAAGTGATAGAGGTAGAGTGAAGCAATGATCTCAGTCATGGGGTGAGGCGGTGGTGGAATGATGCAGTCATAGAAGTGATAGAGGTAGAGTGAAGCAATGATCTCAGTCATTGGGTGAGGCAGTGGTGGAATGATGCAGTCATAGAAGTGATAGAGGTAGAGTGAAGCAATGATCTCAGTCATTGGGTGAGGCAGTGGTGGAATGATGCAGTCATAGAAGTGATAGAGGTAGAGTGAAGCAATGATCTCAGTCATGGGATGTGGCAGTGGTGGAATGATGCAGTCATAGAAGTGATAGAGGTAGAGTGAAGCAATGATCTCAGTCATGGGGTGAGGCAGTGGTGGAATGATGCAGTCATAGAAGTGATAGAGGTAGAGTGAAGCAATGATCTCAGTCATTCGGTGAGGCAGTGGTGGAATGATGCAGTCATAGAAGTGATAGAGGTAGAGTGAAGCAATGATCTCAGTCATGGGGTTTGGCAGTGGTGGAATGATGCAGTCATAGAAGTGATAGAGGTACTGTGAAGCAATGATCTCAGTCATGGGGTTTGGCGGTGGTGGAATGATGCAGTCATAGAAGTGATAGAGGTAGAGTGAAGCAATGATCTCAGTCATGGGGTTTGGCGGTGGTGGAATGATGCAGTCATAGAAATGATAGAGGTAGAGTGAAGCAATGATAGTAATCATAGTGGGTCATCGACGTGGCCATTTGTTTGTTTGGTGTTCAGCGCCGCTCTAAGCAATATTTCAGCTATGGGAGAGCGTTCTGTAAATAATCGGGTCAGGTCCCGAAAATCTAGTGATCGTTATTTAGCAAAGATGCACGCCGTGGATGACACGTAAATGTCTGAACAAATACCCATACGGTCGCCTCTTGCTAACATCACAGGTTGCTGTGGACCTGTTCTAACACGGAATCCCCAAGGGGGCAAGGCGAGCGAACGCCTTAACCACGTTCCTAGCGTCACCGATCGTACTAGAATATTGCTGTATAGGAAAGTATATTGGTTATAGTAGTAAAAAGCAATATAAAAAATATGTCATTGAAAATGAAAAGTGAAAGAATAATTGTTATTGCAAGGATGTTCCCGGTCCAATATGTGGTGATGTTCTGAATGACATAGCATCAGCAGCATAGTCGGAAATAATACAATATGCAATTATATATATATTGCAGATCAGTTTCCCCAAAGTTAACATTATCCTTCCACTTTCGACAGGGAACGATGGAGATACCGGGGTTGTCTGCCACGCCACCATGAGGAATGAACAGACATGTAAGTCGCCATCTTGGCCAGATGTTGTTTAATTCTGCACTCAGCAATATTCCAGGACGGAGGTCTGTAAATAATGGCGTCTGGATCAGACAATCCAGTTATTGACATCATGAGCATCGACCTACGATTTTGGGATACGAAGACCTGCATAAACCAAGTCAGCGAACCTGACTACCCAATCCCGTCAGTCGTCTCTTGAAGCCACTGCCAAAAGCAGTCCAGCTATATCACGGCAGCCTGTGTATACTCGAGTCTGGACCAGACAAAATATTGTTTGGCATTGCTTGCAACGTCCAACGTTCTCAAGTCAACACGTAATCAACCATGTTAAAGAATCCGAATCTCTCCGCCACCCACACACTGACCCCCACCCTTACCCCCATCACCCACACACTCCTATCACCCCTACATACCCCATAAGTATGAGACGTCCACACTGACCTTTATCTTTTTTAAGTAGGACTTCTGTGTTGTTAAAGCGACTCTATTGACTACAGGTTTCCTGACTTAATGCGCGAGTCCACAAGTCCACAATGTATGTGACCGTCTCATTGATAAGTTATGATGATCATCAATATAATTCTTATCTCTCTTGTAGCTCTTTATTTAGATAGAATTAGGTGTGTTTTCTGTGTATGTAGCTTCCGTATTTCCTTTGTCCAGGTTCCCTTGGAGACAAGATTGTCGTCTTGGAGACGGAACGTTCCCCTCAAACAGTCAGTTGTGAGTATTATTAGCAAAGACTGAACATGCTAAAAATATTATTCCTCAAATAAAGGCTTGGTTCTATTTCATTTGAATCACCGTGGAGATTTCTGTTCATATTCACATTCACTCTTTACAACACGAGAAGGCTTACTCTGATATCGGACACAATAAATTCATTATTGATTGTGTGAGTGAGTGAGTGAGTGAGTGAGTGAGTGAGTGAGTGAGTGAGTGAGTGAGTGAGTCTTTTAGAACATAATGTAAGTTATAACACGGCTTGATGTAGGAGGAAAGTCCGAAGTCATGAATGTCTTAGACCATTATCAACATTATGGTGTTGACACAATAAGAGACATAATCATGGATTTGAACCCACGATCATATGTTTTTGCTAACCCTGCACAGCGCGTTCCGCCTCATTAAACGAGTGGGCCACCCGTGCCCCAATTTCATTGCTGAATAAAATGGGTTTTAATTAAATCATGTAAGTGAAAGTTGAACATTCTGCCAATGCACCTACCAGTTGGACGTTATATTTTAGGCCCTTACCTAGAGTGGGACACCAGCACTGCCAGCAAGACAGTAACGACCTCCGGAACAGTGATCACCAACGCCAGACCCGAACACCCCCTAACGAACAGCGGGTGTCGAGTTCAAGCAGAGAGGCATGTCATGGCATCCAGACCCCTCCTGCTGGGAAATGACCAACGTGTTATGTTCCAGATGAAGCTGAGCTACACGTTGAAGATGCTGCTGCAGGAGAACAAGATGTTGTTTGAAGCATCCCTCACCGAAACCCCCATCGAATCTGCCTGGAGCCAGCCAAATGGTCTCAGCATCAACGTGGCCTCTTGCGCCGACCACCAGCAGCAGCTGTGTCTCAGGGTCGTCTATGACAACAAGCTTCTTGAAGACATGCCCATTGCTCAGAACGAGGTTGGTGTGTCACGTGGTCTGCATTTATGTTTTCTGCTGAACACAGTCAAAAACGAAATCCACGTAATCGACGTTGAGGATGACAAAGTGATCAGCACCGTAACTGACGTGGACATGGACAGGCCTCTGTGGTTGATGTCGATGCTGTCGTGGCCGTCATGGGCCAACATGGCGGTAGCTATGATATCGGGGACAAGAGTCGACGTCACAAAAGACATGTATAAGTTACTCACGTCCCTGAGTAATGAATGAATCACGAAGCCGTTCCACAACACTGCCATGTTGCGAGCAAGTTACACGGTTCACGGTCACCTTCTGCCACATCTTCACTCCAGATATGTGACGTTTTCAGTGTTGATCAAAAACCGTCATCTATTAGTTCTATGATACGAAACCTTCTCAAATGGTTGCCATTGTATAATACACGCTCGGTACCACTAAGTCAGAATGTCTATTCAACCAAGCAGCTTTTTGACCACGCAATTCATTTATTAGGACACCCAGTGGACAATTTTCTTATTTTATACATGAACCTAAAACCGTTTCAATTAATTTTGGGAACACATACATTCCATCGTCCTCTTGATCTCCGTTTGCGATCTGGTTCAAACTGGATGAAATCCTTTGCGACAGGATCATAGCGATCGAGGTTTTAAAATAAACGTGAGAAAACCCTTTCCTTGTTCATATGAAAACCCATGCTTGCCGTTAAAGGCGACTGTGCTTGTCGTAAAAGGCGTCTAACGGGATCGGGTGGTCAGGCTCGCTGACTTGGTTGATGCATGTCATTGATCCCAATTGCGTGGGTCGTTGCTCATGATATTGATCACTGGATTGTCTGGTCCAGACTCGATTATTTACAGACCGCCGTCACATAGCTAGAATATTGCTGAGTGCAGCTTTAAACAACAAAACAACCAACAACCAACCAACCTTTGGACAAACGGGGTGTGTTACCTTCATACATAGTGTTATCATATATCAGCAGCAAAGCAATGAGTAAACAGTAGGTGCAGCTTAAAATCAGAGGTGGCACGTGTTCGTAATGATCCATAATGTCTATATCATGAACTACCCTTACAATAAATTACCCGAAAACACACGAAAATAAGACATTTTCATGAACGAAACAACGATTTGCTCATTGAAAATCGGCATTCTTGAATTACGTTTAAAAAGATTACATGATGAATCTATATTATAATAATATATATTATATATTTTCATATAGCAATATATATTTCAATAGAAATTGAAGCATGTTGTTTACAACAAAAGATATGAAGTTGTTAAACATTGTATTGTTTTATGTTATCAATAACGTTGTTCGATTACATACGCTTTCAGGTCAGACATCTTTGTATAATGCTTCCTTATCTTATAAAAGTAGAATGTACAGCGTTATTTACAAACTGCAGTTTGTATTTACATTTCATGAAACTGCCTTTATTTCTTGGGTCGTTCGTATATTTTCTGAACAAAAAAAGTTTAGGATCGTGGATATTTTTGGGGACATTTTTTTTATGAAACTACAAAATAATATCTCCAAAACTATTTATGATCCCAAACATTTCTTTTTGTTCAGTAAAGATATGAACTATGTTTGATGTTAGTGGCATAAAATTAGCTATGTGTATTCACGAACCAAATAAAAAGGTAAACAAATGAAACGGTTATTATTTATGCAAATGTTTATAGCTTTCGTTAACAGCCATTACCTGGTGGTGGGGTATGCGTGTGGTTAAAGCGTCCGTCCATCCCCCCGAAGACCCCGGTTTGATTTCCCACATGGGTACAATGACAGAATATCATGTCCATCATCCTCAGCTGTGTTGTAGCTGGAATATTGCTCGACCATTTCATGACAAAGATAATTGGTGGCACCAGGCGGACCAATGCGTCAAATGTGTCAAAGACATCAACAACGGTGTACTAACTCATGGATAACTTACTCAGGATTGTATTACAAACGCTAGCCTACACTAAAAAAATGTTTGGGATCATGAATACTGTTGGGGATAGTTTTTATTAAATGCGTGCTCAGTCTTCACTACAAAAATAATCCCGGAAACATTCATGGCCCTTGCCCTTACCCTTTTCATATGAAATAGTTATTTTTTAGTTATATCTTGTATCTTGTATTTTTTGTGTGACGAAATATCTCAACTACATTTGTTTTTGTTTACAAACTGACGTACTCATATTGAAATACAGAATCCAAATCGATTACCTAATGGCATATTTGTTCCATGGTACTAGTTATTTGACTATCCTTATATTTGCTACCCCTGCTTCTTTGCATCATATGATATGACGTAGTACCTGTGGCCATCTAGTGAAGCATGTACAGAGTTCTTCTACCAACGTCTCATCAGATATTAGCAGTATCTTATACATTTAACAACATGAGATCAGTGTCACATGGAGATGTTTCTAAACGACACATGATTGTTCGGGATAAATAAAAATAAGGACGCGGTACTACTTAACTTTCCTTCATGTGTATTTGTTGTCGAAAACACGACGTATATATACTGCAGGGAAAAGAAAGTACACACCCATGTTTGATGGTGGATAAAAAATTTTGGGTGGTGGGGGAGGAGGGGTGGGGGTGGGGGGTGTACGAGTATCATAATTGTGTTTTTGGACTTAAATGAGCAGTGTTTCGATGACTGTTTTCAGCCTGGCAAAGTTTTGATAACGAATGTAATTTGTTGGTCAAACCCAAGTTTCAAGTGTATATTATTTTTTGCCAGGCAGTTTGTATATGTTTTTCATTATTTGTATATACATAACATTATTTAATGTTGAAGGATAATAATCATGCTAGTTACAGATAAGTCTATATCCTCTCTGCAAAAAGTCATTAAGAATTAATTAAGATTTTATATTTCAATTCAGAAATATTAGCGTCTGTTAATACATCTGTGAAGTGCGCATCAAGTTTGTATGGTATCAATGGACTGATTCCTTTGTGTAGTCTGGAATTGTGGGCCGATACTAACGCTCAAATAACTCAATAACTCATCCTCAATTATACAGTGTACTTATCGCCATTCTATTAGGATAAATGCCGTGGATCCACTTGCCATTCCCTTCGTTTCGGGAGAGACGTCACCACCTACACCGATACGAACTGAGCCTATCTCTACCTTCGTGCAGAATTAGGGGCGGTCGGGTAGCCTAGTGGTTAAAGCGTTCGATTCCCGACATGGGTACGATTCCCGACATGGGTACAACGTGTGAAGCCCATTTCTGTTGTCCCCCACTGTGATATTGCTGGAATATTGCTAAAAGCGGCGTAAAAACCATACTCACTTACTCGTGCAGAATGTCGAACGATCACGGGAGTAGTAATTTGATTGGGTGGTTATATTTAGCGCCGGGTCGTCTAAAACGTACTGACAAAACTAGAATCGGTGGTGAATGGGCCAAGGCTTTATGTCATAACAGAATGGAGGTATATGTTTCATATTTTGTTTGATCAAGGTTACAGTTTTCAAGGCCTCAGTAAAGCTTTCAAAAAGTTTGATGGTAAACACGTGGCGGACCCTTTCCAAATGTGACCATCAGTGGCCAAAAGTATGTCCGATGCAATTCCCTATTTTGATATATACCAGATGTTCCCGTATGTTTTCAGGTGTAACATTGACTTGGCTTTGTGTGTGTTTATGGCGAGTGCCACCGCTGGAGAAGGATACTCTTAATGTTTCGCAAACACCTGGCATCATGACTATTTATAGGGATTCCTAAACACATGCTCATGATATAGTCGGAACCGTAAAATCGACTCTGCTTTTAGCAGAGATTTCTTATGAATATGGAAAGAGTTTTTTACGCTTTTATTTATTTTATACACTGGATAATCGAGGATCCAAAAACTGTGCACTGACAAAAATAGTTTCTAGTTTCACTGTCCACTCTATTTGTGTCACTCACTTGTGATGAAATTTTACTAACCAGTTAGTAACTATTTGCTAAAATTAGACTAGTGTGGGTGGTCTTATCAAAATTTACTAACTGCAATAGTATATTTACTAAGCTTGTAGTAAGTTTTACAACACAAAGGCTCGTTTCTTGGTCATGTTGTGATCCCTGTTGACAGCTGCTATTAACAATTTGTGAAAAAACAAGTAAATGACAAAAACAATGAAATATAACATATAATGATTTTCAGTGGCATTTTAAGAATATTAACACAACACTTCGAAAACGTAATTGAGAGGTAAATAAAATAAACAAATCTTGTTGTATACTGGCAAACTTAACAAACGAGGAATACGTTCTCTGCCACTGGTGCACGTGTGCCAAGCTCCGTCGCGAGCTGACGTTTACAATGCATGGTACGCGACTCTTCATAATGTCGTGGGACCCTAAAGTAGCATTTTATCAATCACTTGCACATTATAAATACATTCTGACGGTGATTAAAGGACATAAAGAGACCCGAACAAGGATATATATCTTAACCTGAAAGGTTAATTTAATTGCTTCCAGTATGACAACAAAACATACATATTATTTTTTAGCTTTTAACGAGTAAACGAGGGCCTCATTCTAAGGAATGAAAATTTATTCGGTGTGAGATAGCCCTTCATTCCACCGGTGCCTCGTGCAATCTATCAGAGTGGATAGTAAATTCGCGAACCTTCTGGCAGAGTGTCTGAAACTCAGCAGAGTAAATGAGATCCTTAAGTGCCAGCACATTTCAAATACTGTAGGCCTTTTGGGAAAAGCGTAGGCCCAAACATTTTAGCTGAGCAGGGAGACATACTCTTGCAATATAAATTGAAGCTTTCACTGCTATCACACCGAGCTCCCTGAGACATGGTGGTGATAGATGAAGCCTACATTTATCAGGAAATTATCAGTTTGTGAAACATCTCCGCGACTACATGTCATACACCATTTGAAAGGTCCAATCCTACTGGGGGCGGTCGGGTAGCCTAGTGGTTAAAGCGTTCGCTCGTCACGCCGAAGACCCGGGTTCGATTCCCGACATGGGTACAATGTGTGAAGCCAATTTCTGGTGTCCCCCGCCGTGATATTGCTGGAATATTGCTAAAAGCGGCGTAAAACCATACTCACTCACTCACTCCAATCCTACTGTTTATAAATATGAAAGTGATGCTAATCACATTACTTAATAATGCTTAATAAAAATTACTTGATTAAACTATCAGCCCGAGAAAAAATCTGTCGGCCTACGGGTCGATGTCTATTTCGAACACTGCAGATTCTGGCCGCTGTTACTCATTAAGTTAGTAGAATTAACTAGACTTTTTTTCTCAGAGTGCCGTGCGTCTTTAATAGGTATGAGTGACATGTTTTGTGACACCCCATGAGGTCTGCTATCTCTCTTTATGTCGCGTGCTTCTGTTACTGTCCTCCAATGTCCACGCAGATCACGTCAGGCCTTATCTGAATGAAAATATAACTTTCTACAACTTACATATTTGTGTGATCGCGTTCTATGGTTAAATTGACAACGTGGAGTGTTGCACACGACGCACTACTGACAGGACCGTAATGACCGACCGACATCTTCCACACAAGGTTAACGAGCTAGCAGACGACATTCACAACTGCTGACATCGACAGCAGCTTACATCGCCAGCAGACGACATCCACAGCAGCTGACATCAACAGCAGACGACATCTACAACACCTTACATCGATAGCAGACGACAACATCCACAGCTGACATTGACAAGAGACGACATCCACAACAGCTTAGCGCGACAGCACACGGCATCCACAACAGCTGACATCTACAGCAGACGACATCCACAACAGCTGACATCCACAGCAAAAGACATACACTGTCGGTGATACCAGTTGGCAGGCACCATCTACTACAACAGGCACAAAAAATAGGCGTACGATCAAATATAAATATATTTTCACCCAATAACATCGACACCAAATGGTGGATACACAGGGTGTGTATCAAAGTTCGTAACCGTCAACACCGACAGCTGACGACATCCACAATAGATGACATCACCGAAAGTCGACATCCACAACAGTTGATACTGACAGCAGATGAATCCTTACATCTAAACCACACAAGACGACACCAAAGGCGATTTTGAAGAATCGAAGCTTGCGACTTTTCAAGAGGACATATTAAATCCTAAGGTGAGCAGGAGACAGTATAAATATTATTTCATATTCACTGTTTTCGGATATCAAAAAGACCTTCTGAGATTTTGGTTGAAACAAAAAAGTGCATCACATTTTCTTATGCTTTCTAGGATATTTGTGTTGTTACATTGGTGTTGTATGATTTTTGCGAACACCTGGTGTCATCACTGATTGTCTGTGTTCCATTTAAATAATATCCATCGCTATTTTGCTTTGTACGCTCAATGGATTTTTGGGGCAGATAATCGATTTTTCCATGACGTTGCCGTTTGGAATACGTTTTCTGCACTGTCATTATTCGGAAGATGATGACTCTTATTTTTTCGATGAGAGCGACGTGATACTGACATCGTAGAGATACTTAAACCGTGCGATAACCTTGAGTCCCATGTCAACAGTAACTGACACGGACAGGCTCATCAGGACAGCGCTGGTATCTGACTGTCCCTTCAGCTACACGAAAAAAAATATACCTATCTAGTGACACATGTATATACACTCTTGTTTTTATATGTTTTCACCGTGTCTCATAAGCCCTGTGGCTGGGCGTTACATACCTTACTTACACTCTTCAAAAAAAGAAACGCACAGGTAGATTTTTAATAAATTTATTGTACCTAATAAAGTCGATACATTTAATGTAATATCATAGATACAAATATGAAATTTTGGAACTCGATAGTCACATGTTGTCATTTTACAAAGGCATTGGAAACTGTTCATTGTCATGCCACATAAGGCTCCCAACAAGTACCATCTTTAAGCGTATTTTGGTATGGCGCGGCCGGGTATCGAACCCCGGACCTTCCGCTCTCCGGGCGGACGCTCTACCACTAGACTACGGAGTGCTGCATTTCGTACCAGGGCCACTATGGGCCATGATGCCAGAAATACTGAAGACAATTTGTCATTGTCATTGTGTTCAACAAGGGAAAAGACACAAACGAGCAATGTGTTTTAATAGTTTGATCATAAACAGCTTGAGATTCCCCTGAGTGTATGGGCTGAGTTTACTAACGCCTTGCTTGTTTGCTTAATTGTTTGTTTGTTTGTTTGTTGTTTAACGCTGCACACAGAAATATTCCAGGGCCTTAATCCTGAGTTTGAGATGCCCACACCCCTTCATACACTTATGGAAATGTTGACATCCTCAAATAATTTCAGTAAGAAGATGCATGAAATTAATCATAAACTATCGTAAGAAATTGAGGATGGAAAACATGTAGACATGTTGAAACCCCCAAAATTTAGAGAATTAAGCTCTGACTCTCTATTTTGGCACAGTGTGTGGCTTGGTGTATGTTAATTGTGACTGTCCTGATGGCAAAATATCAAGGAAGCTGTCAATGATAAATATTATCTTTACTATTCATCTGCAAAACCATTTGACACTGCTATAAATGATTTGTTTGTATGTTGATTAACACCGCACTCGGAAATAATCCAGCTGTAGGACGGCGGTCTGTAAATATTCGAGTCTGGATCAGACTATCTAGGGATTGACATCATGAGCATCGACTAACGCATTTGGAATACGATGACAAGCACCAAGTCAGCGAGCCTAACCATCCGATCCCATTAGTCGCCTCTTATGACAGGCATGGATTGCTGAAGACCAATTCTCAACTGGATCTTCACGGGTCAATAGCGCTATGAGTAGTATTCCAGTTACTGGTATATCAATTTAGGGACCTACCATTTAACATTCTAGAGTTATAACATATATACATCGTATGTCAATTAGGAGATATGTGTTCACAAATTTTCGGTTGTAATTCAGTATTTTATGCCCGGTAATTTCATTTGGAACTGGCGGGGATAACATTTCTGCGCATCAAATAACAAGTAACACCTAAACACACACATCATGATTATCTTCATTGGGAAATACAGAAGTTATCAGTAATTGTCCGTAGAACGTGAATGTCTCACTCTGGAATGATATGATGTCACTCTGAATGGCAATGACGTCATGGTGATAACTTAACCCACCTGGTTATCAGAATGTATGACGTAACACTAAATGTTCCGGTAAGTATTGATCACGCGTAATGTATGACAAATGAACTATCAGTTTCGCCATGCCCGATGACACGAATCTAGATATGAGAATTTTATACTTTTCAAGCAAAGTGTGTAATTACAGACGCGTTATAGGATCTAATCCCATGGACAACGTTTTCACACTCTAATCAATTTTAAAATGACCTTTAAATGTGAGTGAGTGAGTGAGTGAGTTGGGTTAAACGCCGCGTTTAACAGTATTTCAGTTATATCACGACGTGTCAGCTTAATGTGGGAGGAAAGCCCGAAGTGATGCAGGTCTCGGACGTTTACCACTTCGGTGAAACCCACGAGCACGGGTATGGTGCTGACAAACCTAGAAACATAATCGGGGCGAACCGGGATTCGAACCCATAATCATAGGTTTCTCGCATGCCCAAGGGACCCCCCCCCCCCCCCCCCCCCCCCCCCCCTCTTTAAATGTAGTGTGCATGTACCATTTACAATGTTCTTAAAAAGTGGTATTGTATATTTTATTAATATATTTGAGACCTGCATCATTTCAGGATTTCCTCCCACAGAAGCTAACAAGCCGTGATACAGAAGCTAACAAGCCGTTATATAACTGAACTACAATGTACTGTAAAAGCGGTGCTAAATCCAACTCAGTCACTCACTCACTACAAATATAGTAACTCCTGGTTGTGTCGTCCATCCCGCGTCCTACACCCCACCATCCCCTAAGTATACTGTCGTACATATTCATAGTACCTAACTAAAGGATAGGTATTTGGTGGTGTATGGTTTCACTGTTATCTTATAAGGCCAACTAACTTGGGTCTGCAGTGAAGCTATCTGTTGTGGGTGGTGTAAGATTATCATCACCACGGTATAGTATGACACGGATTTTGGAGGTGAGGTGAAATGTGTGTGTGTGTGTGTGTGTGTGTGTGTGTGTGTGTGTGTGTGTGTGTGTGTGTGTGTGTGTGTGTGTGTGTGTGTGTGTGTGTGTGTGTGTGTGTGTGTGTGTGTGTGTGATTAATGCCGATTTATTGTGCTAGCCTACTGAGATACCATGACGCAGTTTAACATGAATACCCCACTCAGACATAGTATACTGACTCCAAGCCGACCAGTCCTTGTTTTAGCCGAGCACCAGACAGGGTAACAGCAAGTACCATCTTTTAACGTCTGGTATGACGCGGCCGGGGATCGAACCCCGGACCTTCCACTCTTCGGGTGGACGCTCAACCACGGGTATTAAACTTACACGGGTTATTGATGTGTGTAACATACGGAACCTGCATCACACCCGTCAGTACTTCTGTTTGTTTAGGCTTCGACCCGTGGAGATCCGGGGTAGAATAGGTCTTCCGCAACCCATGCTTGTCGTAAAAGGCGTCAATGATTATCGTAAGAGGCAGCTAACGGGATAGGGTGGTCAGACTCGCTGACTTGGTTGATGCATGTCATCGTATCCCGATTGCGTAGATCGATGCTCATGATGTCAATCACTGGATTGTCTAGTCCAGACTCGATTATTTACAGACCGCTATCATATAACTGGAATATCGCTGAGTGCGGCATTACACATCAAACAAAAACATAATCGTTCTTTGTGAATACATAGGCGTTGTGCGGCGTAGAGGCGTGTCCAGTTTTAGTTGCGCAATGAAATTAGACCGTGTATCACTGGGTAAGTCAAACGAGCCCTCCACGTGCATGAATAGAGCGATGTGTAGAGTATATGGCTGAAAAACTGTAGAACATGTTGCATGAGAAAAGTACCGTTTGTAATCTGAAGACTCGCTGGTCTTAGCACTCGCTGACTTCCCTCTCGCTGGAACAAGTTCATAACAGCCAGAGTGCGTGAGTCAGTATGGTTTTACGCCGCTTTTAGCAATATTCCAGCAATACCAAGGCGTGGGACACCAGCAATGGGCTTCGCAATTTGTACCCATGTGGGGAATCGAACCCGGGTCTTCAGCGTGACGAGCGAGCCCTTTAACCACTAGGCTACCCCACTTCCCCAATACTAGCCACTGTAACGCGGTCGTATGTATTCATGGGTGGGGGGTGACGATAGATGAGTCTGCGAACAGTAGAATGAGACGCGGTGACAAATATTATTCCCTGATTCCTGATTATTCCTTCCAACGGTGGGGCAGGACATGTTTAGGCTTATCGCGAACACCTGGTGTCATCATTGATTTTCAGTGATCCATTCATATAATTTTCAAAGTTATTTTGCTTTGAACGTCCAATGGAATCTATTTCGGCGGAGAATCGACACTGTATTTTCTCTTCCACTGACGTTTTATATTTGCTTCTGTTTTGTTACAGGAGGCAATGTCAGAGACTACAGACATCAAGAACCTGCTCACTGAGTGCCATACGTGTTTAAAACAGTATGACCGGAAGTCACGTGTTCCTCGGCGCATGCCCTGTTGTTCAGAGACCGTATGTGAGCCTTGTCTCACTTCCTGTCAAACCAATGGCCGCCTCATCTGTCCCCTGTGTCAAAAGGAAACATCTGAACACAAAGAGGTTTCAAATCTGCCAATTGATCCCCTTGTGATCAAGCTTCTCTCACAGAACACCACGTCACCCCTCACGTGCACGTTCTGCTCTTTCAACAATCCTGCCATCGCAAAATGCTGTCAGTGTAGCGATCTGCTTTGTCAGTCCTGTCTGAGCACTCATTCAATGAACAAACTTCCCATCAACCACGACGTCATCTCCATTGACGCAATCAAACAGCAACGTGCCATCCGTTCGGAGACATTGTCCAGAAGTCTTAGCCTCCAGTCAATGAACCTCCTGGGTCAGCTTAAGGAGAAGGGGGAAGGGGTGATGGCTCGGATGAAGCAGTTGGATGATGTCCTGAAGAACATAGGTCAGTCCCGGAAGAGCGCCATGGGAGATATCAATAAATGTTTTGACGACCTGCTAAAGGAGCTGCAAGAGAGGAGGAAGTTCCTCTTGTCTCAGGTGGAGCTGAGGGCGGACCAACACGCCAGTACTGTCAAATATGCCAAGGCTTCTCATCACGGCATCAACGAAAAGATTAAGAAGTTATCACAGAACATATCAAAGGGTCGTAAGGTAGGTATGAGTGAGTTTGATTTTATGCCGCTAAGAACAGATTCAGTTGTATAGGGTGAGTGAGTGAGTGAGTGAGTGAGTTGGGTTTAACGCCACTTTTAACAGTATTCCAGTTATATCACGGCGTGTCAGCTTGCTGTAGGAGGAAAGCCCGAAGTAATGCAGGTCTCAGACGTTTACCACTTCAGACGTAAAACCCACGAGCACGGGTATGGCGCTGACAAACCTAGAAACATAATCGGGGCGAACCGGGATTGGAACCCACAATCATAGGTTTCTGGCGTTCCCAAGGGACGCAACTCTGCACAGCGAATCGCGGCGCCTTAGACGACTGGAACACCCGTGCCCCCCTTGTATAGGTGAGATGAGGTGAAATGGGGTTAAACGTCGCGTTCAAGATTATTGCACTTGTCCTGTAGCGACGTGCATGCACGTTGTGTGGCTGCTTGTTATAGTCCGGACTAATGCCGACCAGTCCTTGTTAGTCCCTTAATGCCGAGCGTCGTACCTTTCGCTCTCCGGACAGACGCTCTACCACTAGACCACAGAGGTGGTCCAGTGACATAGCATGAACTAGTATATATTAGTTGTATAGTTAATACATCATAGGTTTCTGTCACAATCAAAGGGACGCAACTCTGCACAGACGACTAAGCCACCCGTTCCCACGTAAGGGGGACATAAATACATATGGATTATTATCGTTTTCGTATTGGAACTATACGGAAGCAAATAATAATCCCTTTATAAGAATGTCATTTTTTAAATGGTCGAGGTTTCATACATATAGTGAGTGTGTGAGTTGGGTTTTTGCACCGCTTTTAACAGTATTCCCGTTATATCACCGCGTGTCAACTTAATGTGGGAGGAAGTCCGAACAATTACCATTTTGGTGAAACCCACGAGCACGGGTATGATGCTGACAAACCTAGAAATGTAATCGGGGCGAACTGGGATTCGAAGCCACAATCATAGGTTTCTGGCGTGAGTGAACTGCCCCATTTAGCACAATGTGCCAGATAATTTGCAGCCATAGTTGGTTACATGGGACTCATACATCGGGTACCTTCTTTCAAAACGTTTGGGGAGAGTAAGGTTTTAATAAGATGGCATCGCATCGATGTACAGAGCTTAAAATTATAATTACTGCTGAATAACAAATCGGATCGTGATACTGTCTATCGGACTTTTTATCACCTATGTAACACATCGATGTGATAGTTCTTAAAGCGTTCGTACGTCACTCCGAAGACCCGGGTTCCATTCCCGACATGGGTACTATGTGTGAAGCTTATTTCTGGTGTCCCCCGCCGTGATATTGCTGGAATATTGCTAAAAGCGGCGTAAAACCATACTCAGTCACTCTTTACAATTCTCCAGATGACCATGTCACTTTTCGGTAAAAACTAATTCTGGTATGACTTAACATACTAGTATCAATGACATAAAGCACATTTTATATATTTTTCAGATATCTCAACTTCTAGAAATACCTTAACTAAACAAAACATGATGTATATATTTACACATATACGATGAGCAGTTTTCAAAGATAAAACTTCAAGTTTCTGTTCCAGGATTCACCGGCTGCTATTATCTCATTACTCCAAGAAACCGCAAAGGATGTAGATTTTGCCCGGAAGGGGGTCTGCTTTGTGCCCGCGAACACCCAGCATCTCTTCTCCATCCTCCAGACAGCTGGGCTGGTCCGGTCCATCACCTTCACGCCGGCGGAAAAGCCCTGGGGAGTTCCAGACGCCGTCATCTACAACGCAATATCCCTGGACCCTATCAGTATCCCACAAGGCAGGTGCCCTGTACCCGCCATAGAAGTAGCCCGCAGTTTGTTTGTTTGTTTGTTTGTTTGTTTGTTTGATTGTTTGTTAGTTTTTTTGTTATTGTTGTTTTTGTTGTTTGTTTGTTTGTTTTTGGGAGTGTGTTTTTTTTTGGTTTAACGTCGCACTCAGCAATTTTCAAGCTAGATGTCGGCGGTCTGTAAATAATCGTATTTGGACCAGACAATACAGTGATTGATATCATGAGCATCGATGTACGCAAATTCAATACGATAGCATGCATCAACCAAGTCAGGAAATATGACCATCCTACCCCGTCTTACACAAGCAGGAGACGGGGCCACGGGTGGCCCAGTCGTCGAAGGAGCTGCGATTCGCTGTGCAGAGTTGCGTCCCTTGGGCACACCAGAAACCTATCTCTACGGAGAGGTGGTCCCCAATAACCAATGGTTGTTGAAAGAGTCGACGAAATTATTCGGTAGGCCGGGCTTAATAACTTTGTTGATTGCTTGTCATTGTTGATCAAACTTCCTATCAGTGGTTTGTATGGTCGATAGTTGATTACTTACTGGCCGCCATGCGGTATCCGTTAGATACAGTGATGGAGGTTTCATCACTGGTTTGCCTTTACGCCCATTGGAATATGTTGTGGTTGATAATCGAGACTGGTAACTGTCAGGCGTTGGCGTCTTATATACACATGTTGCTGGAATAGTGTACTTTCAAATAACTGCGATTTTTGTTTTACGCTACTTTTAGCAACAAGTGGGGCGCCGACACGAGCTTGTACAATAGTACACCGTGATGTCAGGACACTAGGTTGTACAATAGTACACCGTGATGTCAGGACACTAGGTTGTACAATAGTACACCGTGATGTCAGGACACTAGGTTGTACAATAATACACCGTGATGTCAGGACACTAGGTTGTACAATAATACACCGTGATGTCAGGACACTAGGTTGTACAATAATACACCGTGATGCCAGGACACTAGGTTGTACAATTTACACCGTGATGTCAGGACACTAGGTTGTACAATAATTCACCGTGATGTCAGGACACTAGGTTGTACAATAATACACCGTGATGTCAGGACACTAGGTTGTACAATAGTACACCGTGATGTCAGGACACTAGGTTGTACAATTTACACCGTGATGTCAGGACACTAGGCTGTACAATAATACACCGTGATGTCAGGACACTAGGTTGTACAATAATACACCGTGATGTCAGGACACTAGGTTGTACAATAATACACCGTGATGCCAGGACACTAGGTTGTACAATTTACACCGTGATGTCAGGACACTAGGTTGTACAATAATTCACCGTGATGTCAGGACACTAGGTTGTACAATAATACACCGTGATGTCAGGACACTAGGTTGTACAATAATACACCGTGATGTCAGGACACTAGGTTGTACAATAATACATAGTAATGTCAGGACACTAGGTTGTACAATAATACACCGTGATGTCAGGACACTAGGTTGTACAATAATACATAGTGATGTCAGGACTCTAGGTTGTACAATAATACACCGTGATGTCAGGACACTAGGTTGTACAATGAAACACCGTGATGTCAGGACACTAGGTTGTACAATAATACACCGTGATGTCAGGGCACTAGGTTGGGCAATAATACACCGTGATGCCAGGACACTAGGTTGTACAATAATACACCGTGATGTCAGGACACTAGGTTGTATAATAATACACCGTGATGCCAGGACACTAGGTTGTACAGTAAAACACCGTGATGCCAGGACACTAGGTTGTACAATAATACACCGTGATGTCAGGACTCTAGGTTGTACAATAATACACCGTGATGCCAGGACACTAGGTTGTACAATAATACACCGTGATGTCAGGACACTAGGTTGTACAATAATACACCGTGATGCCAGGACACTAGGTTGTACAATAATACACCGTGATGTCAGGACACTAGGTTGTACAATAATACACCGTGATGTCAGGACACTAGGTTGTACAATAATACACCATGATGCCAGGACACTAGGTTGTACAATTTACACCGTGATGTCAGGACACTAGGTTGTACAATAATTCACCGTGATGTCAGGACACTAGGTTGTACAATAATACACCGTGATGTCAGGACACTAGGTTGTACAATAATACACCGTGATGTCAGGACACTAGGTTGTACAATAATACATAGTAATGTCAGGACACTAGGTTGTACAATAATACACCGTGATGTCAGGACACTAGGTTGTACAATAATACACCGTGATGTCAGGACACTAGGTTGTACAATAATACACCGTGATGTCAGGACACTAGGTTGTACAATAATACACCGTGATGTCAGGACACAAGGTTGTACAATAATACACCGTGATGTTAGGACTCTAGGTTGTACAATAATACACCGTGATGTCAGGACACTAGGTTGTACAATGAAACACCGTGATGTCAGGACACTAGGTTGTACAATAATACACCGTGATGTCAGGGCACTAGGTTGGGCAATAATACACCGTGATGTCAGGACACTAGGTTGTACAATAATACACCGTGATGTCAGGACACTAGGTTGTATAATAATACACCGTGATGCCAGGACACTAGGTTGTACAATAAAACACCGTGATGCCAGGACACTAGGTTGTACAATAATACACCGTGATGTCAGGACACTAGGTTGTACAATAATACACCGTGATGCCAGGACACTAGGTTGTACAATAATACACCGTGATGTCAGGACACTAGGTTGTACAATAATACACCGTGATGCCAGGACACTAGGTTGTATAATAATACACCGTGATGTCAGGACACTAGGTTGTACAATAATACATAGTGATGTCAGGACACTAGGTTGTACAATAATACACCGTGATGTCAGGACACCAGGTTGTACAATAATACATAGTGATGTCAGGACACTAGGTTGTATAATAATACACCGTGATGTCAGGACACTAGGTTGTACAATAATACACCGTGATGTCAGGACACTAGGTTGTACAATAATACACCGTGATGTCAGGACACTAGGTTGTACAATAAGACACCGTGATGTCAGGACACTAGGTTGTACAATAATACATAGTGATGTCAGGACACTAGGTTGTATAATAATACACCGTGATGTCAGGACACTAGGTTGTACAATAATACACCGTGATGTCAGGACACTAGGTTGTACAATAATCACCGTGATGCCAGGACACTAGGTTGTACAGTAAAACACCGTGATGTCAGGACACTAGGTTGTACAGTAGAACACCGTGATGTCAGGACTCTATAAAACACTGTGTTGTCACTTTTTATTCCATACTTTTATCATATTTTATACTCTTTTGTAGTGTCGAATGGAGATGTTGGCTTTCTTTCCCACAGCAGAGCACACAGTGAACAAACATGTGAGTTGGTGTCAGGATGTTACATCATTTATGCTATGGCATTCAAACCAGGTAATGTTTGTTTGTTTTTTTGTTTTTTTTGTTAAACGCCGCACTCAGCAATATTCCAGCCATATGGCGGCGGTCTGTAAATAATCGAGACTGGACCAGACAATCCAGTGATTAATATCATGAGCATTGATCTTTTTTTTACGCAATTGGGATACGATGACATGCATCAATCCGGTCACCCGATCCCGTTAGTCGCCTCTTACGACAAGCATAGTCGCCTTTTATGGCAAGCATGGGTTGCTGAAGACCTATTCTACCCTGATCTTCACGGGTGAAAACTAGGTCATATTCAGTGGTATTGGCGATACTGGTGCATGCTCACAGTAGGTTTCATAGTAAGTGTAATTTTGTTTATTGGAGCAACACTTCCAGACCTGTGAGACCGATAGTGACATTACCATGTTCATCAGGACGGTAACGTGTCTGGTGAAACTGCCCGGATCAACGATCCCTGTGTGTGCAATATGAGAATATAACCAACGTGTTACCCGGAGTTCCGGATCATCTGTCACAGGGAACTGAACGTTGTAAGCTCAGAGACGCTGGAGAACGAAATACAGCATTCATTTACGAGGGACAAATAATTCATAGTTCCGAGTTTAGAGTAGGTTATTCTATACATGTATATTACTGACTGACAAGAAGACATATGTATGAAGAGCTACCCTTCAGATAAACCTCGCCGCAATCAGTTTATTGTTCAGATGACGTAATGTTATTAATATGTCACGTCCTCAACAATGGATGACGTCATATCGTATTGTTTTCAACAATGAAATCTATTGACACCTTATCGCTTCAACTGATCAATTAGCATTGAGAGTCGCAAAAAGCGATATCGATCTCGAATTCGCTACGCTTATGGGAAATGTTCATCCTTTCGATGGATATGAGGATCGCCTCCATGGTCTAGTGGATACAGTGACTGCCTGGAAAGATCTGTCGGTGGTTAGATCTCAGGCCTCGTCATACTAAAAGACGTGAAATTTGTTGTTTCCCTGGCGCTAGGCATGAAGGGGATAAAAAAAAGTACGTATAGGAGGCAGTCAAATGTGTGAGTGGATCCATGTTAAACTCTGGCATGGTGTCTTAGTACTATATAACCAGAATTAATCCGGACTAGTACAACCGCGCACTCACTCACTCACTCACGCACGCACGCATGTATGCACTCGCAAAATAAGTGCAATAATCTTAAACGCGACGCTAGACCCCATTTCACCTCACCTACAAAATTGTTACCGATTTAACGGAGTTTCAGTCTGTATGAATATAGCCGTGTTGAGCATGTCGTTATCTGAACACCTCTAAGTGTCAGTACATTGGTGTATATTGCCTTTGTTGGAGATGTGATTATAACTTTCTCAGTTTTAATGAACACAATATCTTTATGTTTTTTCAGGCTCGCTTGGAGACCAGGTTGTTGTCTTGAAGACTGCTAGCAAACATCGAACTCTCTTTTGTGAGTATAATTTGTTTTATTACATCTAGTTGTTACTTAATAGATCTACACCATATCAAACAATATAGAACCATGGTGACAATAAGCGTTCCCATTGCTATCAAAAAATACCAGTCAATCATGTTGACGTTTGTGTCATATTGGAGTTGTGGAACAACACTGCCTGGTTGTTTGTTTGTTTGTTTGTTGTTTAACGCTAATGTCAGCCACATTCCGGTTGTATCACGGGTACCTGTAAATAATCGAGTCAGACAAACCCGTGATAGGTATAATAACTACGTACGCCGTCGGGGTAAAATGACACGCTGTCCACCAAGCCACTGTGTTTGATACCAGAACCATTACGCAGCCTCTTGACCAGCATAGGTTGCTTGGGACCAATTCAAACCCGGAATGTTATAGGGACTGTTTGTTGGTATGCCGTGTTGGGTGTTTTTGCACGAGACTATACTCCTAACTTACATCTTCCCGAGACTTTAACAGTCCAGTTTCCGCCCTTGCCGAACTAGGCTGGAATTTCTGGGCTTGATAGTAGCGCCACTAGTGGCTTCTACGAGTTATGTCCCTTCTAGTCCCTCCTACTGACCAATCAGATTCCACCTCTCATATCGCTTGCATTTGCTTCAAACAAGACGATCGGATCGATAATCAGGATATATATGGTAATAAAACGCGTCTTACCTCGCGAAGTGTATCAAATCACGTGAGCCCCTTCATTAAAAACATTAAAAAAAATTTGGAAAATATCTCTTGACGCCCAGTTGACGGTACACCTCTTTTGCAAATCCTGCAGTCGACCAAAATCTGCACGCTGAAAGCCATATTGTTTACGAATGGATATCCATTTCGTTACGCGATTTTGAATGGACTATGCATAAACGCGCTGGTCCAGCCACATTATAACGTCATAATTGCAGCCTAGTTCGTCAAGAATGGAAACTGGACTTTTACAGTTAGTTAACCCCCTTGCCCCGGAAAGGGGCCTAACTCAATGTTCGCTCTTCGTTCGGAATATATTCATGGTATCCAGTTTAACTGTACCTAGTTTAAATGTATGGTGTATGAAAGAGCAATATAGGAGAGTTTCTATTCAAGGCCCAAACTTGGAATGGGACACCAGCACCGCAAACCGGACTGTCACTACATCCGGGCCTGTGATCACCAACACCAGACCAGAACCGCCTTTGTTCAACAGCGGTTGCCGTATACAGGCTGACCGTCACGTGATGACCTCCAAACCGCTGTTGATGAGAAACGGACAACAAGCCATGTACCAGGTTAAGGTGAAGTACAATCCCAAGATGTTGATTCAAGACAACAAGATGCTCTTTGAGGTGTGTCTCACTGACTCCCCTGTAGATTCTGTCTGGAGCCAGCCGAGCGGACTCAGCGTCAACTTGGCTTCCTGTTCTCACCATCTTCAGCAGCTGTGCCTCAGGGTCGTCTACGACAACCAACTGCTTGAAGACACGCCCATTGCCCAGAACGAGGTTGGTGTGTCACGTTACCTCCATCTTGCTTTCCTTTTGAATTCTGGTAGGAACGAGATACACGTGATCGACGTTGAGGATGTCAGAGTCATCAGCACTGTGACGGACGTTGACTTCGACAACCCGCTGTGGTTGATGATGATGTTGGCGTGGCCATCGTGGGCAAACATGGCGGCTGCGCTTGCATCAGGAACAAGGATAGATGTGTCAAAGGACATCAACAAACTACTGTCTTCGCTTCAAGCGAGTAACATCTGATAAACAGGACGACCTTTGGAAGCTGTGACAAAGACATGCATATTTTTATAACCTTGATAAAAATCATGATTATGCGATATTATGTGAAAGGATAATGCCGAAAATTCAGTGCACCATACCGCGCGTAAAGGATTTTTCTTGTTAATATATACTACTCAAACTAGGTTAAGGATCACCCGATTCTTTCACATCACTATAGTAAATATGTCATGGTACTATAAAAAGGATCGGAGGTTCTTTAAGTTTTTAGTAGCATATATCAAGGTCAGGTAACTCTTAACAAATTCGTTTTATCATATACCTTGCCTACATGAAATTCTGTAATTTATGTACCATTCTAGAAAAGGTTCTCAAACCAGAAAAAAATATAAATGTGATACGATGCTGGCCTGAGCAAAGTGATGCAGATGTGTATTATACTGATGATAGCGTTGCACTTAGACAATGAATGTGTCCATGATTGGGCGCATAAGTGTAGAAGTTTCATCGTATTACACACACTCTACGTGAGAACTGGGATGTTAATTTAATTAAATATGTTTTAAAATTAATTTAATGAATAGAAATGTAACCAATGCATATCACACTATCTGTATCATACTCTACACTAGTGGATCCAGATAATACAGGGGGGTGGGGGGACGGGGGTGGGTGGGGGGGGGGGGCGTGGTTGTGCTCCACCCACCCCCATCCCCAGATGTCAACCTTTGCCAGTCTACCCCATGTGTTTTGCTCACTTCGCGAGTAGTATAGTGTACATCTTTAACCATCAACTTTTGTGATTTCTATTGCTCATATATTCATTATTATTTGTGTATTTTGATGTTCATGTTTTCATGTAATGTTGATAATTCTAATAATCATATTATCATAAAGTGTTGTGAATTTTAATAATCACATTTTCATTAAGATTTGTGGGTATTGATGGTCTAATTAAGACATATTCATGAAAATATATTTTGAATGAGATTAGATCAATCTGTTTTGAACGTTAATCCAGTACAAGCGTTTCTTGTGTTAACATGCCGAACGAGCAACTCGACCAAAACGTCCATATGTCTTGATTTTACAGACGTTTCATGAACTTGCATTTTATTAAATTTGACTGTTTTGAGTTAAATGTAATAAATTGTCAGTCGTTTACAGTGATGGTATACGTATGCTTATACAGCAGCTGAATTGGTAAACTATCTTTTTCAAAATTAGACATAAGTTTTTTAAGAGGCTCATTTAAAAATAAGCATTCGTTTTTATATAAAATCTTGATCAGAACACAGAACACTTAATGTATATTCAAATTTGTTTAACCGGCTCCTTGGTCTAGTGGTAGAGCGTTCATACGGAGAGCAAAAGGTCCGGGGTCGCGTCATACCAAAAAGACGTTCCAAAAGATGGTATTTGTTGTTGCCCTGCCTGGCCCTAGGCATCAAGGCAGCATGGTATCCCTAGCACTATAAAATCGGCATTAGTCCGGACTAGTATAAGCAGCCACACACACGTGCATGCACGTCGCTATATATGTGCAATGATCTTGGACGAGACGTTAAACCTCACCTCACCTCACCTCACCTCACCTTACCTCACCTCACCTCACCTCACCTCGAAATCACATCAGATATGTTTGTGCTTTTTGTTAATACGTGCTGTTATATATTCACAACATTTCTATAGATATTATTTTATAATTTGTATTATATAATAAAATCGTTTCGAAGTACGCATTTACACGTTAGGTCTCTTCTTCTAAAATATATTTGTTTCGGCATTCACTTTTCTCATAATAAAACTTCTGTCGGTAGATTGAATAATCGAATCTGGACCAGACAATCCAGTGATTGACATCATGGGCAGCGATCTAGGCAATTGGGATATGATGACACGCATCAACCAAGTCAGCAAGCCTGACCACCCGATCCCGTTAGTCGCCTCCTACGACAAGCATGGGTTGCTAAAGTCCAATTCTAACCCGGAATCTTCACGGGTAATTTTCAATGTCATGTGTGTGTGTGTCGGTGTACTGGTTCTGTAATGAACAAAGTTTACAAAGACCGATACTAACACATTCCATCTTCTCGAGGCAAGGAAGTTAACTGACTGTAAAAGTCCACCCTTGCCGAATTAGGCTGGAATTCCTGGGCTCGATCGTAGGGGCACCAGTGGTTATTACGAGTTATGTCCCTTATAAGCCTCTCCTATGGACCAACCAGATTCCACCTCCCGTATCACTTGCATTTGTTTCACTCAAAATGGCGGCGCCAAGCCAAGACGATCGATAATCAAGATCTTTATTGTGATAAAACGGGTCCTACCTCACCTTGATTAAAAATGTGAACAGACTTGGAACATCTGCTGACGAGTTGACGGTGTACATGCTTTGCAAATCCTTCAATCAACCGAAATCTGTACGACAGTTTACGAACCGGATTTCAATTTCGTTGCGCGATTTTGATTGGACTATGCAGAGACTCGTTAGTCCAGCCAAAATGTAATTCCATAATACCAGCCTAGTTCGGCAAGGGTGGAAACTGGACTTTCATAGACAGCTAATTCCCTTGTCTCGGGAAGATGAACACATTCCAGCCCATAATAAGTGAGTAAGTATTGTTTTGCGCCACCTTTTGCAACATACTAGCAACGTCACGGCGGAGGACATGGTAAATAGGCCTCATGCAATGTACCCATCTGCGGACTCGAACCGGGCCTTCGGCGTGACAGGCGAACGCTTTGACCATTAGACTATCACACCGGCCCACTTTTTATGTAACCGAATAATGCACCCTAAGCACTTAAGTATCAATGTCAATATAGTACATAACCTGTATAACATGTATAATACGGTTGATTCCTGTATAATTAATCTATAATATACTCTTTTATACCATGCTCCGTTTACAGACAAACCAATGTTACTGTTATTGTGTTACGCTGATATACTAGTATCATGATTCTGTTATATGTCCGTAAAATGGTTGTAATATATTCGGTTGTAATAAACACTCATGAAATATTTGTACAATCTGTTTTGCAACAGAAATGACGGGGTGAAACGGGGTGAGCTGCTCCGAAACGGTCTTCAAATTATACGTCATTCGGGTTTGCTCGGCATATTTCATCACCTACATTGAACCTCGCATTCGTCACCACTCGCCCCTTTCCGTAACCTGCAAGTCGCTATTCGGCTTGTCCCTGAATAACACGAGTGGGTCACAAATGAGAACCTCGGGCAGAAATGGAATGGGGAGTGAGTATGGTTTTACGCCGCTTTTAGCAATATTTCAGCAACATCACGGCGGGGGACACCAGCAATGGGCTGCACACATTGTACCCATGTCGGGAATCGAACCCGGGTGTTCGGCGTGACGAGCGAACGCTTTTACCACTAGGCTATTGGGACATTGCATGATCTCAATGTGAACCACTGACCGAATGATCCCTTAGCATGTGGTTCGCAACACTTACTGTCAAGCTGTATATGGTAAAAATATATACGATGTACAATTTCATATGAAACAACGTATATTTAAGGGCCACAACTGCCGTGCGATTATGTTGAGTAATGTGATCGTCACGTGAACTGCTGAAACTATTGAATCAAGTTCCAATATGGAATCCTGCTAGTAAGGATTGTATGCCTGGGGCTACAAGGTAATATCCGGGACCATTTTCACAGACGATATTATTCAGCCTAATGTGACGTACCACAAGCAGTGAAAGACGATGTAGATCGATGCACATGATGTCAATCACTGGATTGTCTGGTCTAAACTCGATTATTTACAGACCGCCGTCATATAACTTGAATTTTTGTGTGCGGCGTAAAACAACAAACAAGCAAACAAACATTGTAGGATAAGGGCCCAAACAAGCTCTGTGTAGTTTCAGAAACTCGTTTTGGCCGGTATCAGTAGACCTACATATAGTCTCTGATATAAAGTTAAATTATTCAAAAGAATATATCTACAATATACAACATCAAATCCGAATGAAGCCCTTGACCATGCTTAATTTTAGGCTAGACTTGCTAAATCGTTCTATACTTGGGGTGGATTCTTTTTATAATTATTTATTCTGTAGGGTCTGGTCATGTTCATGTTCATTCAGAATGAATATTGGAAACACCGCATATGTTTGACTTATAACGAAGGCAAATGTAGAGGTGGGGCTAGACTTTGTCAAAAAGGTTGAGATGTTTCAAAAAGTATTTGTGCGGCTTCGGTCCTACCCAACACTGAAGCACATGTAGCTCTAGTGGTGTCTCCTGTGGCAAGTGACTGTGTTTAAACCAGCAGTGAAAATGGGTACCCGGTAGGATATGATAGCAATGTGAGTATTAATTTTCTGGCGCCTGACAAGGTAGCTTGGAATGTTTACTCCCCAGGGAGCTGAGAATGAAAATCGAAGGCCCGCTGAACCATTTGCCGGGGTAGTAATGTTAGCACTTTGCGAAAACACCGACCAGTGCAATACAAGTACTTGTATTATTATTATTGTTGTTGTTGTTGTTGTTGTTGTTGTTGTTGTTGTTGTTGTTGTTAGTGTTTATATATGATCTAATCGTGGATTTATCTGAGGTGGTTAGCGTGTTAACTCAGGTGTAATTAAGTTACAACCTTTAGTAAAACGTTCATGTACGTATTACCAATTAACTGTCATACTGTAGAGCTTTGTAATTAGTCGGTTTGCGGATCTGAACTTGTCTAGGGCGAATAACGTGTCTACGGTTTAACAAAAAACATGAATATTTCGAAAACACACATGCAATTTATATCTGTCCTTCACACTTCACAATATTGTGCTTAAACGCAGGTAAACACAGGTAGCGTGTGAAATCAATAATCAGACTCATAAACAAACTGTTCTGGGTTACAAATGGTATTTAAAACAAGATCGCGTTCATTCTTTCTTTATCGGCAGCAAACGCCAGGATCGCCAAACATCTGTAAAACACAGGACTCAATTCGTAGTCCAGGACCATATTTAAAAAGATTCACATTTGTTTTCAAGACTTTCTTGTACTCGATATGATGTCGATGTTATGACTGCACCATGTGCCTGTACACTTATTTATTTGACCGAGGTTTAATCTTACGCTGCGTTGTATTTGTGTTTGTTTGTTTGTTTGTTGTCTAACGCCGCACTTAGCAATATTCCAGCTATATGACGACGGTTTGTAAATAATCGAGTCAGGACCAGACAATCCAGTGATTGACATCATGAGCTCGATCCACGAAATTGGGATACGATGACATGCATCAACCAAGTCAGCGAGCCTGACCACCCGATCCCATTAGTCGCCTCTTACGACAAGCATAGGTTGCTGAAGATCAACTCAAACCTTTGAACCATAATCCAGACTCGGACCCATGACAACGGCGCCTTGATCCTTACAGCTCTGCGCTGCACGTGCGTTCGTTCGATTATTAAAATTTGACTGACCTGAATAAACCGATGTTACCCTATTTCTGCATTCAGCTTGATGTTAATCGCATCCTCTATATCTCCAAGGCCAGCAACTCCGTCAACCTACACTAACTCCTGGATCCATTCCTGTGGTTCTCGCAATCGCAAATTACCTGCCCTTGATTTCGATTTGCCGATCTGATTGGCTATGCGACTAGGTCTAACGGACCAATCAGAATGCGAGTTACAAACCAACCTCAATAATACGTTGGCAATATCAACAACATGGCGGCCAGTCCCATTGATTATGATTATGATTATGATTGATACAACACACAGTTATGAGAGGTTATTAGGTGTCTCATTACTTGACAAAGCTGCCATTGTCCCTTTTGTAATTAATGCCTGTAAAACGACCAGAAAATTCAAAATATATATTTTTTAAATATATTTCAGGCTGCAGAACAAAGGGAAGTGAGATATTGGGTATATTGAGCAGAGATGGTGATGGTCACAAAGACTGCAACGCCTAATAAATATTGTAAGATAGGTCTAATTTTTATCCCCCGCCGGGCCAGAATGGCCGAAGGGGGATTATGTCGTGGCGCAGTCCGTCCGTCTGTCTGTCCGTCCGTCCCACAGAGGGTACTAAGCTTGTGAAATCAACTCCTCCTACAGTTTCCAGAGAATATCCCTGAAACTCTACACACAAGATGTCGACATGTTGATGATACGCATATCGCAGTCCCGTTTCATTTCGACTAATTTTGACAGAGTTACTGCCCCTGTTTTACGGAGCTTCATTTGCCTAATTGTGAGAGAGGGTACTAAGCTTGTGAAATCAACTCCTCCTACAGTTAAAATGTGCACATGTTTAATATATCCATCTCTAAGTCACGTTTCATTTCTTTTCATGTTGAGAGAGTTACTGCCCTTGGTTTATGAATCTCGATTTGCACAACTGTGAGAGAGGGTACTGTTTTTGTGATGTCAACTCCTACATTTTTCAGGGAATATCCCTGACGCTCTTAACACATGCCGCTCTACACACAACATGTGTTATTGATACACATATCGCAGTCGTTATAAATTTGATTTATTTTAACAGAGTTACTACTGTCAGCTGATACAGGTACAACTTTGCCTCAGGTAACTCCCATTATAAAACAATGTCATTTAGTCTCTGTTGTGAAAATATCACAATATCTAACTATAGTTAGTTTCCTTGTATAAGGCTTTTGTGGCTGAGCTACATCCTAATGGCATTAGCATTCAGACTGGATTACTCTCAACAAAATGTTCTGCACAATTTGTTTCAAATGCAGTGCCATCTACTGTTGTTATTTCATACAAAGAAAATATAAACTCATTTAAAAAAATCATGCGGGGGATGTTGTGCTCTCCGAGCACTCTTGTTTTAAAGGTTAACGACAAACGACGATGAAAAAAATGTTCAGCGAAGAACTGCATGTCGTAAAAGTCGAAAACGACAAGCGGCCGAAAATTGATTTGTTCCTGCCTGGTCTGTTGAAGCGTTTTGGAATCCATTGACACTAATATCTTACAGAAGGTAACCTTGCGTAGTGTGTATAGCACAATGTTCCATCTATAAGACGGAAACCCGTAAATATCCAATCCAGTTCCAGACAAACCAGAGATTGATATTGTGAGCAAAATCATACTCCGTCTGGGAACGATGACACATAATCAACCACGTGATCGGGCCTGACCACCCCACCCAATAAGTCGCCTCATGTGACAAGCACAGGTTGCTGGGGTTCAATTCTAACCCGGAATCCCTAAAGTAAGTGAGTATGGTTTTACGCCGCTTTTAGCAATATTCCAGCAATATCACGGCGGCGGACACCAGAAATGGGCTTCACACATTGTGCCCATGTCGGGAATCGAACCCGGGTGTTCGGCGTGACGAGCGAGCGCTTTAACCACTAGGCTACCCGACCGCCGGAATCCCTTAAGGAGACATGGGATTTGACCATTGTTCCTCTCTAATCAAATGTTTCCCCTGAAGATTCCGGGTTTGAATTGGTCTTCAGCAATCCATGCCTGTCGTAAGAGACGACTAACAGGATCGTGTGGTCAGGCTCGCTGACTTGGTTGATGCATGTCATCGTATCCCAATTTCGTTGATCGAGCTCATGATGTCAATAACTGGATCGTCTGGCCCAGATTCGATTATTTACATATAGCTGGAATATTGCTGAGTGTGGCGTTAAACAACAAACAAACAAATCTAATCAAATGATGTTTCTATTTGAAAAAAACACCGCATAGAGAGCTCTGTTTTATAAGTCATACATATATATGAATACGTATATTTATATAAATTAAATAGGCAGAAAAGATATCAAACTGACTGAGTAACAATAATAATTAACAACACCGGAAGACAGGCAATAAAATATATATAAATATTATCCATTTCGTCACATAATTCATAGTGATAAAAAGTCGTTTTACTCCGTTTCTACATAAGGCCACAGTCGCTTCAAATCTTTTTTAAATGGTTTCTATAAAATTATTCCTCATGTGGATGGTATAAAAAAAATCTTTTTCATAAAATATCATCACATACTGGTGCCAATAATCCCGACAAACAGAACAAGCAGATAGATCCAAGCAGACGATATCCGGTCGGCGTCATTGTAGATGGCGTTGGCGTAATTTGTCGTGACGACCCGGCTGTTACGGGGCTGAAGCGGCCGGAAGACGTCGGTGACATACTGGTCTCTCTCTCCTATATGTGTCCGCTTTATATGCCGGAATTTCTCCAACTGGAATAACAAACGATATATGCGTGACGGTTTTATCATCCCAAACTCGCTCCCTCTGGAGATATCGCTTGGGTGAGATCAAGCGATATCTGCATTGTAGATATCGCTGCAATGAAATTGCATCACAATGTTTTGCAGACCATTGTGACGTCATTGGTTACCATCATCACTAATAGCTCTGCTACTGAAGCTGTTAGCAGTACTTTTTAGACTTAAGACACTGCTAATTACTGTCTACAAACTGCAAAAGTTGGAAGAATGATGTTGGATGATAAATAAATGGATGATATATTGATATCAAAAGACACTCGTGTGAGATTCTCTAAGTCTCACACAAACCCTCTGTTCTGTTTTTCATTAACACGTTCTAATGCTATTAATATAAAGTATTTTTCATCGATTATGGCATAGAACAGAAATATATCTTTGATAAAGTGACATTGCATGGGGAAGTGAAAAGGATCTGTCAAAACATCACTAGCTGAGTCACTGACTCACTCACTCACTCACTCGCTGACTCACTCACTCTCTGATTCATTCACTCACTCACTGAATCACTCTCTAGCACACTCACTCACTCGCTCGGTCGCTGACTCACTCACTGAATCACTCTCTAGCACACTCACTGACTCACTGACTCACTCGCTGACTCATTTACGCACTCACTCACTGACTCACCCGCTCGCTCGCTCACTCACTCACTCTCTAGCAGACTCACTCGCTGATCCACTCGCTCGCTGACTTTCTGAATCACTGTCTTGCACACTGACTCGCTGACTCACTCACTGACTGACTTACTGACTCGCTGACTCACTCACTGACTTGACTCACTGACTCACTGACTCGCTGACTCACTGACTCACTAAATCACTCTCTAGCACACTCACTCGCTGACTCACTCACTGACTCATCTGCGCACTCACTTACGCACTCACTCGCTCACTCAATCACTCGATCACTCACTCACTCACTCACTCGTAGAGTTTAGCTTCTTTTCGATATGATATTCTGCCACTATGTATGGAGACCAGTCGGTACACCAAGCCCCCTACGCCTTTACCTGACAGAAATAGTAAATACTCATCAATGTGACAATGATTCCCCAGCTTGTATTTTTTTTTAAATGTAACTTTTTAAGTGGTGTTACATTTTATGTTGATCTACGTTTTCATCTTCTAAAATAAGCTTTATGTATGAACATGGGTTAAACTTGAATAGTTACATAAACTGATGTGTATTATGAATAAACATGTATTGCAAGCTACTACAGCTAAAGGTTCATATGCTTTGGCTCTCTCAGTCTGTAACATGAACGTACCTGTTCCTCGGCTACCTCTATGGTTTCTGTAAACAACGTCCACAGCACTGTTTCCGAGCACGGCGGAGTGGTTAAGCTGCCCTCATAGCGATAGAATCCGTGAAAGTCCTCCGGCAGCAGTGTCATGATAGGGAACGTCGGTATAGAATACGTGTCCTCTGGAGGTAAAGTAAAGGTTTTTATTCATCGATTAATCAAAGCTCAAGGATGTTTCCAGTCTACATCTTTACGTATTTTTTTTTTAATTTTAATTTTCAATAATAATCTTTTTTTCAACAATTAGTGTAGGCTATAGGCCCATTCTACATTACAACCTGTACAGTGTAAGAGGGCGTAATGTAGTTTATACAAATCGCATTGCTTTGTAAGTAAAGATAGCTAAAGAGGTTTTCGAATAGTTGGTACATCGGTCGACGCCATCAAAATATTAAACTTAAGTAATGTAGGGTACATTTAATAATAATAATAATAATAATATAATGATAATAATAATAATAATAATAATAATAATAATAATAATAATAATAAAATTAATGGCATTTATATGGCGCTGAAATCCTCATCACTAAAGCGCTAAAATAGAATTTACGTGGTATATATATATATATATACTCCCCCTTCCCCAAACACCCCCAACCCCGCCCTCAACCTTCCCAACCCTCCCAACACCCCCCAATATCCCAACACACACGCCCAACCACCCAACCCCCAATACACCCCACCCCCCAATACACACACACACCACATACCGCAAACCCCTGTAATAAATGACCAGTCCCAACGAGGCCTCGTCTGCAAGTTTGTCATTCTGGGATACCAGCTACCTGGTGGGTAGTCATAATGTCACATGACCGAGAGACGGTTGTTTACTCACCACTGTGTTCAATTTGATCGAAATAATTCAGCAGTTTATCGAAGTTTGCATTTGTTTTGCCCACCTGAAAGTAAAAACAGTCAACACACGACATCATCGAACAGGTGGAATAAGGTAGCCCAGTTGTTAAAGCGTTCAATGGTCAGCCCGGATAATAGGTTCGACTCCATAAAGACACGATATGTTCAGAGCATTCTTTATGGTGAGGTGAGGTGAAATAGGGTTTAACGTCGCGTCCAGGATTATTGCACTTATATAGCGACGTGCATGCACGTGTATGTGAGTGTGTGTGGCTGCTTGTACTAGTCCGGACTGATGCCGATTTATAGTGCTAGCACACTGAGATACCATGTCGCAGTTTAACATGAATACCCAACTCAGACACAGTATACTGACTCCGAGCCGACCAGTCCTTGTTTTAGCCCCTTAATGCCGAGCGCCAAACAGGGTAACAACAAGTACCATCTTTTAACGTCTTTTGGTATGACGCGGCTGGGGATCGAACCCCGGACCTTCCGGTCTCAGGGCGGACGCTCTACCATAAGACCACGGAGCATTCTTTATGGCCCTTGCAGTGATACTATAGAGCAAAACTGTAAGAAGTTATGTGAACCTTAACCCACTCGTTCTTAATTGATCAGGGCGGTCGGGTAGCCTAGTGGTTAAAGCGTTCGCTCGTCACGCCAAAGACCGGGTTCGATTCCCGACATGGGTACAATGTGTGAAGCCCATTTCTGGTGTCCCCCGCCGTGGTATTGCTGGAATATTGCAAAAAGCGGCGTAAAAACAAACTCACTCACTCTGCGAGTAGTTGGAAGATTGCATGCTGCATAAAACAATTCTCACTTACACATTCCTATATTAGGAATATCTATCCCACGAATATCCGGGATGCATGTCATCGTATCCCAATCGCGAAGATCGATGCTCATGATGTCAATCACTGGATTTTCTGGCCTAGACTCGGTTATTTACAGACCGCCTTCATAAAGCTACAATATTGCTGAATGTGGCGTTTAACAACAAACAAACAAACAAAGGTTCTTACCCTGAAAAAGAATCCGAGGACAGATAACCCTTTTCGTTTAGTCAGGGCGTTGTCGATGTTGGAGTACTTGTGCGAGTACATCACAATATGCATCTGTAACGGAACAATTGTACATGAGTATATATAGGCCTCTTAAAGGGCGGTATCTCATCTTTAAAATATAGACACAGATATTGTTAGTTCATATCAATTTGAATTTTTATTATAAGATTATATTATTATAATGAGATAAATTCGCATTAAACACTCATGTTCGGCTAGATTTGGAGAGTCATTTGAAGATTTGCATCGTTATGACTGTTCCAGGCATCTGGGAAATACTGACTGTCACATTAAACTACCTTCACTCATTTACTTACTCCTTGTTGCCTTGGGGGCGGCGGTTGGGTAGTCAAATGGTTAAAGTGTTCGCTTGTCACGCCCGAGGCTCGGGTTCAATTCTCCACAATGGTACCATGTGTAAAGCCTTTTCACGGTGTCCCCCGCCGTAATATCGCTGGAATATTGCTTTAAGCGGCATAAAACCATACTCAATCCTTACTGGTGGCGTGGGCACCATGCAAACTAATGTCCAAAAGAAAATATACCAAGAGTTTGAACGACTATGAAAGAAAAAGAAAAGCATGTAGAAAGTCAGTATGTCTATACAGTAGACTACGGTTAAAACGAACACGCTTATAACGAACTGACGGATATAACGAACTTATTTTTTGGTCCCGACTATTTGTTGTAGTTATGCTGTATATATGCTTATAACGAACTACGGTTACAACGAACTAAAATTAGTAGTCCCTTTCAGTTCGTTATAACCGTAGTTTACTGTATTTCATAGTTGTGTTTTAACATAATGTGTAGAACTGCTCATGTTATCCAAACAGAAACTTTACGACTAAGACACAAAGTGAGTGAGTGAGTTGGGTTTAACGCCGCTTTTAACATTATTCCAGTTATATCACGGCGTGTCAGCTTAATACGGGAGGAAAGCCAGAAGTGATGCAGGTCTTAGACGTTTACCACTTCGGTGAAACCCACGAGCACGGGTATGGTGCTGACAAACCTAGAAACATAATCGGGGTGAACCGGGATTCGAACCCACGATCATAGGTTTCTGGCGTGTCCAGGGGACGGAACTCTGCACAGCGAATCGCGGCGCCTTAGACGACTGGGCCACCCGTGCCCCCCTGAGACACAAAGACACATGGTGGTAAAAAATGATAAGTTTCACAATATCACTGTCACAACATTTGTTCAACATGACCTAATAACGTGTGTATTAATGCACGCCTGAACACGACGACGCAAGGATGGCGTCTGACGTCGGATTACGTTGGGGGTAATACGCTGCCACTCCTCAAGGAGACATGGTTCCAGTTCTTGACGGTTGACTATTGCCGCAGGTCGTCTTCTGATCTGTCGGTCAAGGTGATCCCGGGAATGTTCGATGGGGTTCGTATCAGGAGAACATGCAGGCCAGGGTAAAACGTGAATGTTCGCGTGGTTCAGAAATTTCTGTGTGAGCCTTGTTGTATGTGGTCTCGCATTGTCTTGCTGAAGACAATGCCACGTGGCTGTTGCTGAATTAATGGCTGCACAACGGGTCTCTAATATTCCTCCCGATATCTCTGAGACTAACATTTAGTCTCTGAAATCTTATATTACACAATATCCTTCTTGACTCTAAAAATAACATAAAAATTCCCTATGCTGATTGTGGAATAGAGCTAGCTTGAGCTGGCTAAACTTGCTTTTGTATGCATTTCTAGATTATTTGTTTTTCATAAAATAATTTAAATAAAATATATTCCACGGTCATGGTGCAGGACTAGGATATCTCAAGGCATTCAGGTTTCCCTGAATAATAACGAGCCTCGTTTTGACATCACCGCAGATAGCTCCCCAGGCCATGACGCTACCGCCTCCAAATGTTTGAACTTGTTGAACACAATTTGGCGCTTAACGTTCACCTACTTGTCTATATGCTGACTGCCGACAATCATTTAAGAGATAAACCTACTGTGTTTTGAAATTTGATGTAGTCCCACTGTAGAATAGATACCTCTTTATTATAACTTTGAACCGAGCGCTTTAGCTACGCCGTCTATTAATTTCGCGAGAGCCCTTGACTCGGCGTGTATTAGAGACCTTGCTGGTATTAGAGACCCAGCGTTTATTAGAGGAAATAAGACATGTTTTACAGTTCATATGGGGGTGATCGATCGGCAGCCATTTTCTATGAATCGATATGTAGGCTGTCTATGTATTCAAAGGCACGTCTTTTGTGAAAAGGCTTAATATATTTGAAAGGGGTTTCCATTGCAAAAAGGAAACCTCTTTTTAACCAATCAGAATCAAGCATTCATCAATGTCATGGTAGAATTATGTACAAGTAATATCCACTCTCGTCGGAGAACATGACGCGTCCCCGGTCTCGCACTTGCCAACGCCTGGCCCATTTCAACCTGTTACGACGGTGTTGACATGTTAACGTTTCTCCGCAGTTGGGTCGACGTGTTCTGATACCACGGCCTGTCGACTGACTCTGTGTCCCAGTGCCGTCGGTGCCGTTACCGTCGGTGCCGTTACCGACGCTGTATTTAAGCGGTTTCGGAGATGAATCGACCGGATTTTGCGATCTTTAATGGGCGTGGTCATCCGTGTTCTCCCGCTTCTACGCCAGTCTGATGCCTGCCCTGTCTGTTGTAAACGTTGCATTAATCTGGTTATGGTGACACGGGTGCATTAAAACGTTTCTCGCAATGGCGGCGTGCGTGCGTCCTTGTTGCGCCACAAGAACGGCTCTGCTCTTCTGTATAGCAATTAAACGTGGCATATGTTCTTAGTGCTTTCGGTTGATGTGTTCATAACGTGCCGTGTCATCAATTTTATACCGTACTTTTGCACGTGCATTTCGTTCTCGTTTCGGCAAAATGCATGATCCTCCCAAAAAGGGACAATTTTTACTGCTTTTTGTCACCGAATACTTTTGGTTGTCTTCATGCGACGTATTTAAATTTTAATATATATTGATATTTAAGTTACCAAAAAAGTAGACATTTTTAGGTGGTATGCTTTCTTTTGGACATTAGTGTATATAAACCATTATGCAGATATGTACTTACCTCCATAGGGAAGTGTCTGCCATTGATGGTGTGCTCCGATCCCCTTTCATCCTTAGCTCCCCAGTGGAAGTGAAACTGCTTCACCCCATAGGATGTGTCTAGACCTCCCCCTTCGACATTTATCTCTTCCCCGCTCAGGTGAACCTCCACTGCAACAGGCAGAACGCCAGGCAAACACCGTGAGGTGAAATGGAGTTTAACGTTGTGTTCAAGATTAGTGCACGTATATAGCGACGTGTGTATGTGGCTGCTTGTACTATCGAGACACCACTGAGATACCATGCCGCAGTTTAACATGGCTACTCCACTCAGACACAGTATACTGACTCCGAGCCGACCAGTCCTTGTTTTAGCCCCTTAATGCCGAGCGCCAGGAGGGTAACAGCAAACACAGTCTTTTAACGTATTTTGGTATGACGGGGCTGGGGATCGAACCCCCGACCTTCAACTCTCTGTCAGACGCTCTATCCACCAGGCCACAGAGGCTGCCAGCTCGGTACTACCCTCAGGTCGATGTTTGAGATCGAAGAGTTCCCGTGACCGACCATTTTATTTATTGTGTGGATTGGGGTTGTTTTTTTATAAAATAAAAAGGATTTATTTGGTGTTCAGTGAGACCAAATGAAACCCTATAAAAGGACCGGTGATAAAATATCATTGACGATACAATTAATACAACAAACGGTATTAAAGAGATGAAAAACGTCCGTTTGGGATATTGGTTTCATGTACCAAAAGATTTGATGGGGGTTTTTCTCTCGAAAAACTGCTTTGTAATCTTCAAAATGGATTCTGTAATAGTGGTTATACTCGTTGGCAAACATGGAATTCCATTTTGACGTATTTACCTTCCGGCCTTTTACTTTCTATCGATCGATCGCTTCCTTTAAGGTGGGCTTTTGGTAGTCTGGTTCCATTATCTACACGATCGTAATGTGTAAATGAAAAATGTAAACGCCAGAGAATAATCAGTCTCGATTATCTGCAGAAAATCCATTCGGGGTAAAACAGATTCCATTCGCCGAAAAAGACAAACTAGCGGTACAAATTACACGAATAGACCCCTGCAAATCAGTAAAAGGAATGCACACTATGACATAAAGGGAAGGGTGTCATACAGGCGTGAAAAGTACATGCTCGCACAATCCATCTTCTTAAGGTATTCTTTTAAGGATAACTCGAAAAGATTCGGTTTGCTTAAAGTATGTGTCGATTAAAAATATTTCAAGAACGTTTGGAGGGTTATAATCCAGTTTATTGGCTCCTGTCGAAGCTGATCGAAGACATCGTTAAGTGGGACTAACAGACAAACATTAGAACCCCGTACCCGGTACAGACATCAGACAACAGGTGCGCGGGTCGTGCACGACATTCAGAAGCAGCGTCAATGTCTGCTAGCACCTTGGTCGGAAGTCCTTTGAGTTGAAACTCCACACAGCAACATTCTTCAAGTCAGTCGTCATTTGGCGCCCCTTCGTTATCAACATGTATGTGTGAAGCTCATGGTTGACTCGTGTGCCTGCAGCATTGTGGGCTCATCTTTGAAGGTCACGTGACACATGTAGCTGCAACCACGCCCACTAGCCAGCGTAGTTTGTCAGTTAACGGCTAGTAGTAGTAGTAGTAGTAGTAGTAGTAGTAGTAGTCGTGGGTGAGTAGGTGAGTGAGTGAGTGAATTTGGTTAAACAATATTCCAATTATATCACGGCGTGTCAGCTTAATGTTGGAAGAAGGCCGATTTTTGATCGGAATATAAAAGCATCGTTTGCCTTCGAAGAGAGGTTGAGGGTTGTTGCTGGTTTTTTGTGGAAGAGCATTAATTGGTATTCGAACCGTTTCCTCCGGAGGTGAGGTGAAATTGGGTTTAACGTCGCTTGTAGTAGTCCGGACTGATGCCGATTTATAGTGCTAGCTCACTGAGATACCATGCCGCAGTTTAACATGAATACCCCACTCAGACACAGTATACTGACTCCGAGCCGACCAGTCCTTGTTTTAGCCCCTTAATGCCGACCGCCAGACAGGGTAACAACAAGTACAATCTTTTAAAGTCTTTTAGTATGACGCGGCCGGGGATCGAACCCCGGACCTTCCGCTCTCCGGGCGGACGCTCTACCACTAGACCACGGAGGCGGTCCGTTTCCTCCGGAAGGTAAATATTCCAGACAAAAGTGAACAGACTTTTCAACAAACAAGTCATGAACAAAGCGAGGCCTACCGTATACGTGAGTCAGCCAGTAGATCAATCAACCAGCCATACAGTTAGGTGATCTACGACAGTAACAAAACGAATTCTTGAGTCAAGACAACCAGAAATGTGAATATAGGCCATTGCATTTAATGTACGCGTTGATTCAGAGCCTATGATGAGGCAATATTTAGCGAGGTTACCTGGAGATTTAACACCCCTAAATTTCACTTGGAACCGAACTCCCAGTGTGAGGTTTCAAATGTGACATTTAGCGCGGTTATAAAGTAGGATGTTAATCTCGATTCTACTATGACTAACTGAAAGGCAAACGTTATTAGGTGTTCGGAAATATATGAAGTGAGGCGCTGTGTTGTCGATTTGAATTAGGGAATTGCCGACAACAGCCAATAAACAAAATATGGCGCTGTTTATGCTCAGAAAATATTTTATCAGGTAATATCACCTGAACATATGACAGGCATTGAAAGCATGTAGCTCAGCAACTTCGAAAGCTCTTATAAAGTAGGCACCCCTCACGGAAATAAAGCAAGACTTGCAAGGTTTCTTTCTACACCGTGCGTCACTATTATGACGTCTTATTGCTCATTGTGACGCAAATATATGACGTCATAGTCGCATGCTGATCGTGTATAGAAAAGAGCCAAATTTCAATCAATTTCCCCAAAACTTGAAATACATTCTCTTTATGAGCATTTATTACATTTATTAGCATGTAAAAAGTTTCTTTGTGTCGGATCTTCTACACCAAATTGCATGGTTTATGGTGAATGTGGTAGATACCCATTATATATTAATTCTCAGATCAGATGTTTAAAATACTGGTTTAAAATTCTTCATATGCATGAACAACGTCTCCCCAAATTAGCTTATAACATGCTACATGCTTCTACATTTAGATACCATGGGAAAGAATACTTGGACATCGCATATAAGAAATCTTTTATTTTCGCATGGTTTGGGTTTTATATGGCTATGTCAGTCAGTTGGAAATGTAAATATGTTTCTTAATGAATTTCGGAATCGGTCTATAAATATGTTCTACCAAGAATGGCACTCCACTTTAGAGGATAGTTCGCGTTATGAATATTACAAAACTTTCAAGACTTTACTTCAACCAGAAATATATTTATCAGTACTCACTACGGAAAACTTAAGAAAACAGTTAATTAAATATCGACTTGGTTTGCTAGACCTATTTGTAAATGAAGGAAGAAAACTGTCCATTGAAAAAATGAAAAGAATTTGTCCATTGTGTAAGCTAGAGATAGAAAATGAAATTCATTTTGTGTTTGTCTGTCCATTTTACAATGATCTCCGAAAGAAATATATAAAAGATTATTTAATAGCAATGTCACCGATAAACGCCTTTGTAGATATGCTGACGACAAAGAACGAATCAAATATATTAAATCTTTCTCTTTATATTAAGCATGCATTAGCCAAAAGAAATGAATTAATCAAACAACGTGTATATCCCAATGTGTAACAAATGTAATTGTATCTACATGCGTAACTCTTTCTTGTATATGGGCCGGTGGCCTTTTGTACAATAAACTTCTTTGACTTTGACTTATGTATTTCTGTCGTGTTTTTTTGCACAAAATGTATTGCCACATGTCCTTTGAATAATGAAATTACCGCAACGCTTTCATTGTAGAATTCCGTGAAGATCCAGGGTAGAATAGGTCTCCGTAAAAGGCGACTATGCTTGTCATACGCGGCGACTAATGGGATCGGGTGGTCAGGCTCGCTGACTTGGTTCATACATGTCGTCGTATTCCAATTGCGTGGATCGATGCCCATGATGTGAATCACTGGATTGTCTGGTCCAGACTCGTTTATTTACAGAGCGCCGTCATAAAGCTGGAATATTGCTGAGTGCGGCGTAAACAACAAACAGACAAACAAAACCAATCATTGTGGAATTCAATCGGGGTACAATTACAGTTCATTGTTTCATTTTGTAGGTGAAAATTGTCGGCTTTTTTACTACTTGGTTAACGTACGTTATGTTTAATTATAATTGAAATAGAAATATAATTTTTACAGTAATCTTCTAAAAGCATAGTCAGGTTAACTTAAAAAATGAAACATAGTTGCTTCCCTTGCCATTTATATCGAACTGAAAGTTCGGTCCGGTTTAGACAGAGGAAAATATTTGTGAGATTATAACAAGAGATAAAGAAATAGGAATTATTACTATAATTATTTGGGACTGTAAATATGGTTCGGTATTGAGAGAAATATGGATTTTCATGTCCATCACATAAATGTTTGATTTGTTTACTGGCCGCCGCCGTAAAGCAGGATCTCCTGCTGTGCGGCGCCAGGCAACAAACAAACACTATTATTGTTTATGGAAACTGTGTGATGCGGCGGGTGCTGCCGGTTGAGCAGGACATGTTTATCCTTTTCGCGAACAGTGATGCTATAAAAAAAATTACCGCTATTTTGCCTTTTGTATCCGTTGGAATATGTTTTGTCGGATAATCGAGACTGGTTATTCTCTGACGTTGGCTTTTTTATTTATTTTACAAATACGGGAAATAAGTGATTGTTTCAGCCACAGACAGCTATTTTCCAGCTGTATCACACAAAAGCCTTGAAATAATCGATTCGGGACCGACAGACGAGTGGTTGATAGTGTGAATAATGTGTCACACCGTACGACACGCATGGGCTGCTGGGCATAAAGAGTTTACCTGTATCCATCTCACTCACTCACTCACTCACTGGCTCACTCACTCACTCACTCACTCACTCACTCACTCACTCACTCATTCACCTGACCCGTGAAGATAGGTAGATAGAGATAGAGAATAGGTCTTCAGCAACCCATGCTTGCCGTAACAGGTATCTATGCTTGTCAAAAGAAGCGACTTACGGGATCGGGTGGTCAGGCTCGCTGACTTGGTTTGATGCATGTCATTGTATCCAACTTGCGTTAATCGATTAATCACAGGACTTCCTGGTCCAGACTCGATGATTTACAGACCGCCGTCACATATCTGGAATGTTGCTCAGTGCGGCGTTAAACAACAAACAAACAAACACTCACCTGTATGCCCCTGTACATTTTCCAGCAACATGGTGACATTCTTGGTCTTGCTAAGCTGTGTCAAATTGAAGTGGGTTAGAGATGAGTCGAGCATGACCAGTGAAGTGTCTACGTCCACTGGCGACTGGCTGAATCCGCCACACTCAGGGTAGTCCACTGACCAGTGGGCAGGACCTGGAAACACGCACACAGAAGAACCTCTTTACTCCGGACATCTTCCCGAGGCAAGGGTATTAACTGACTTTAAACGTCCAGTTTCCACCCTTACCGTACTAGGCTGGAATTTCCAGGCTCGATCGTAGCGCCACCAGTGGCTATTACGAGTTAGGTCCCTTCTATGTTCTTCCCACTGACCAATCAGATTCCATCTGCTTCAAACAAAATGGCGGCGCCCAGCTATGACGTTCTTATCGATAATCAAGATCTATATTGTAATAAAACGGGCCTTATCTCGCGAAATGTATCAAATCACGTGAGCACCTTGATTAAAAACTTGAAAAGATTTGCAAAATATCTGTCGACGCCCAGTTGACGGTACACGTTCTTTGCAAATCCTGCAGTCGACCGAAATCTGCACTTTGAAATCCATGTTGTTTACGAACTGGATGTCTTGTTTGTTACGCATAGACTCGTTAGTCCAGCCAGAATGTAACTCCGGAATTCCAGTCGCGTTCGGCAAGGGTGGAAACTGGACTTTAATAGTCAGTTAGCTCCCTTGCTTCGGGAAGATGTTAACCGGATAGCGGTATGCTTAAAGGCACAAATTGCATGTTGTTTGTATTTTTAAACGTTATTCACTCACAAATTTTCGTGAAATCTTAATTCTTTTGTTTCCAAGGAATATGAACTGTTGGGTCGAATGTTCAGTCCGGTTTAGACAGATGTCCGGATTAGTGAGATTACAACAGAAGATCAAGAAACAGGTAATGATTATAGGGTTTAATTTTTTTTTAAATAATTTCCGCAGTAATTCGGGACAATATATGTGGTCCGGTTTTGAAAGAAATCTGGATTAGTCAGAGTAGAGAATAACTGAGCGCCACGCTGTAAAGTCGCCTTGCCCCAAAGCCTGGAAACGTGAGTGTCGCCAAGATACACTCACAGTTTAATGTGTGAGTGAGTGACTTGGGTTTAACGGTATTGTCGTTATATCAAGCGGTGTCAGCTTCATCTGGGAGTCTGCTTCATTTCAAAGTGATGTAAGTATTAGATGTTGCTACTTTGGTGAAACCCACAAGCATGGGTTTGGTGGGGCATAAAATTAGAATCATCATCAGATGAAATCTAGGATTCGAACCCACTATTTTGATTCAAGGTGAGGTGAGGTGAAATGGGGTCGCGTCGCGATTCAAGCACGCTTTAGGGGTACAAGGCTGCTCAGAGAATGCCTATGGCTTAGACGACTGGGCCTCCCGTGCCACCATATTTACCACTTCGGTGAAACTCACGAGCAGGGGTACGGTTCTGACAGAACAAGAATCATAATCGGGGCGAACCGGGATTCGAACCCTCAACAACCGTACCCTAGCGAACACCTTTACAAGAAGAGAACCTTGTCTACGGTTTAGAGTGAATGAGTATGGTTAAACGCCGCTTGTAGCAATATTCCAGCAATATCACGGCGGGGGACACCAGAAATGGGCTTCACATATTGTACCCATGTCGGGAATCGAACCCTGGTCTTCGGCGTGACGAGCGAACACTTTAACCACACTGCCACCCACAGGTTTGGCATGCATTAGATAAATAATAAATAAAACATTTTTGAACAATTTCATACTCACCCAACTGTCCCTCATAGCTCCACGTGTTACCTGGCAAGGAAACAAACTTGGATCAGTGTGTGAGTGAGTGAATGTTACGTCACAGTTACCAATTAAACTACATTAGGGAGTCCAGACTTTACACTAACTACATTTCACACAAGGTACAGCACACCTCTGCCCGCAGTCTGAGGAAATCACAGCAAACGCTGCCTGGTTTCTGATCTTATTAAATCCTTTCGCAAACTTCCCCAAACCCTGTGTTTACCTGTGGCTTTATCAATGTTGCACAATCAGACTTCCTGGAATGACACTTGAAACATTCAACTCGGATTTGCCTCGAGAATATTTGTATGCTCGTACGGGATCAGACCGCCTCTGGGGTATAGTTGTAGAGCGTCTGCCCGGAGAGCGGAAGGTCCCCGACCGCGTTATATCAAAAGATGGTTCGTAACCCTGCCTGGCGCTCGGCACTAAGGTGCTAAATCAAGGACTGGTCGGCTGGGAGTCAGTATTCTGTGTCTGAGTGGGGTATTCATGTTAAACTGCGGCATTTTATCTCAGTAGGCTAGCACCATAAAATCGGCATTAGTCAGAACTAGAACAAGCAGCCACACACACATATAGGTACGCATGCACACACACGCACGCACGCACGCACGCACGCACGCACGCACGCACACACACACGCTATACAATTGCAACAATCTTTGACGCGACATTAAACCCCACTTCACCTCACCTCGTATGGGATGAACAGTCAGGTGGATTGAGGTACTCTGTGTGTGTGTGTGTGTGTGTGTGCGTGCGTGCGTGCGGGCGTGAGTGAGTGCGTGCGTGCGTGCGTGCGTGCATGTGTGTGTGTGTGAACTGTGTTTGAACTCTGTGACGTGCGTTGCATTGCGTCACGGACGGTGGTGAAGTGATCCCCGTGTGAGTGAGTGAGTGAGTAGGTTTTGACACCCTTTTAATAGTGTGTCAATAACATAGCGGCCTGTAGACTTGTGATGTGAAGCAGGTCATGCACTTTAACTGCTTGGGGTTGAAAAACAACAAAGATCATAATATGGATTTGAGCCCACGATCGTAGGATTCTGACATTCCTGAGGGCGCCGTAGGCTGTGCGTAGCACCGAGGACGATTTCAACGATTAGAGACCAGGGTCTGTGTGCTCAGACCTATTTAAACCATGGTCAACATTCAAAGAACATTAGCACCCAAAATAGAAACGCGTTTATAAAGATATTCAAGAACGCTATGCATAACTGTGAGAACACTGTGTGAGTCGCCCTTGAGTGAAAACTGTGTGAGTCGCTCCTGAGTGAAAACTGTGTGAGTCGCCCCTGGGAGAAAACTGTGTGAGTCGCCCCTTAGTGAAAACTGTGTGAGGCGCCCTTGAGTGAAAACTCTGTGAGTCGCCCCTGAGTGAAAACTGTGTGAGTCGCCCCTGGGTGAAAACTGTGTGAGTCACCCCCGAGTGAAAACTGTGTGAGGCGCCCCTGAGTGAAAACTGTGTGAGGCGCCCTTGAGTGAAAACTCTGTGAGTCGCCCCTGAGTGAAAACTGTGTGAGTCGCCCCCGAGTGAAAACTGTGTGAGGCGCCCCTGAGTGAAAAAACTGTGTGAGTTGCCCCTGACAGAAAACTGTGTGAGGCGCCTCTGAGTGAAAACTGTGTGAGTTGCGCCTGAGTGAAAACTGTGTGAGGCGCCCCTGAGTGAAAACTGTGTGAGTCACCCCTGAGTGAAAACTGTGTGAGTTGCTCCTGAGTGAAAACTGTGTGAGGCGCCCCTGAGTAATGCACGTGGCATATATTCAGTGTGCCATTTTGCACCGCATCTCCCCCTTTAGCGACTCACAAAATGCATAGAATGACTTATGAAATGCATGTCCCGGTGCAAATATACAATTCAAATTATCGCATGTTAGTGTTATTTGCCCATGTTGATGGGCCTAATACACATCATAGACCTGGTGAAAAATCAGTACTTTTAACAAAAAGCTACCAACTCACACTTCTGTTCAATGTACAGAATAACATAGTGAATACATCATATAATTCATCCGTTAATAAACGGATTAAACATTCGTCTGGATGTTAATAAACATGATGTGTTCCATGTCGTCATGGTGATTTATCGTTTATCGTAAAATTGTTCCATCATCAAGGTATATCAAATGGGGAAAAAATGTCCGTACTTTGTATTATGGTAAAGAAGAACATTTCATCTATCAATAACATGCCATTTATATCTCTTCGATGCTACGGTAAAACCAATTCTATTATATGGTTGTGAAATCTGGGGTTTTGGTAACTGTAAACAAATTAAAATTCAGGTTAATTGTTTTCTTGAATTACTTCCCATTAAGAATAGTGCGTCTTTATACAGGTTGTATGGAGAACTTGGAAGAGTACCTTTAATTAACTCTAATGTCGAATGTGTGTTTTGGGGTAAAGCTCTAATCTGACAAAGAACAAAAGTTATCAAGAATCCTATATCAATTATTATATAATGAATTCTGTACAAACAATAGCTGTCATAAATGGATAAAATGTTTGAAAATTATTTTTTTATGAAACGGGCTATAGTTCTATTCGATAAGCCAACAAGCAGTGCTTCCTATTGTCCTTAAATCTAACATTTCTTTAAGATTAGCTGATATGGCAACTCAAAAATGGAAAGCAGAGATTACAAATTCTTCTAAAGTTATCACATCTTGCATATTTAAAACTGAACTCGTCTTTAAAAAATATTTATTATTCTTCTCTTTCTCTTTGACTGTAAAATTCCTCTTGTTAAGAGCCTCGTGCTATCATTTCCCTATTGAACTAGGTAGGTGGCACATATTACTGTCAATGATCGAACGTGTAAACTCTGCGACATGAGCGATGTTGGTGATGAATTCCATTATACTTTTCTTTGTCCATTTTTCAAACACCAACGGAAATCGTGTCCCACTTTCATATGCTAAAACCTCAAATATATTTTTAATTTAAAGATCCTTTATATTGTAAAATGATAAGTGTTATAAAAAAACCTCATGTCATTATGAAACCTAGATTCTTCCCTGTAAACCATCCCGCCATTTTATGTATATAGAGGCGGTCGGGTAGCCTAGTGGTTAATGCGTTCGCTCGTCACACCGAAGACCCGGGTTCGATTCCCGACGTGGATACAATGTGTGAAGCCCATTTCTAGTGTCCCCCCGCCGCGATATTGCTGGAATATTGCTAATAGCGGCGTAAAACCATACTCACTCGCTATTATTATATACTGTTTGTAAATTTGTATATCATATGCCGAGTATCCCGGCCTGTGTGTAAATAAAGCTCTGTTCTGTCCAGTCGCTCACAGGTTCAAACAGGCCAATGGCAGGTGGTCTTCAAGTAACAATTCAGTTAGTTAAGGCACGGTTAGTTATGGACAAAGGAGACAGGGGTTACTTTGGAGTGTTTAGATTTGGACTATTTTAGATCGTTTTGTATTGCATTGAATTGTATTTGACTGTTTTGTTTTGTATTTGAATGTTTTGTTTGTATTCGGTTGTTTTGGGATTGTATTTGATTGTTTTGGATTGTATTTGATTGTTTGGGACTTATTTCATTGTTTTGTTTTGTATTTGAATGTGTTGTTTGTATTCTGTTGTTTGGGGATTGTATTTGATTGTTTTGGATTGTATTTGATTGTTTTGGGATTAACACGTCCCATTTTAATTCTGGAAACCCAAAAGTCCAGAAACTCTACGCTCTCTGCCCAGTCTCGGTTAAAGGTATTTACAAAATTAAACATGCCGTTTTCATTGGAACATACCAAGGAAGAAAAAATGAAAACAAAATTGTTTAAAAACTCAATATTTAGACTATGTCGCCCATGGGCCTGCCCATGGGCCTGCCCATGGGCCTGCCCATGGGCGAAGTGTGGCCCATGGGCCTGCCCATGGGTAGGCCCATGGGCGAGAACATGTTCCCTTACTTAAAACTCATGATTTTATTTCGCAAATACATTAAATGTATTTATTGAAGTATCATGACACAAAATTAAACTCATTTTAACTTAATTCAACGATTTTATAGCGATATTGAAATATTTCGCCCATGGGCGAGAAAAAGGTTTGGCCCATGGGCAGGCCCATGGGCGAGAACATGTTCCTTTACTTAAAACTCATGATTTTATTTCGCAAATACATTAAATGTATTTATTGAAGTATCATGACACAAAATTAAACTCATTTTAACTTAATTCAACGATTTTATAGCGATATTGAAATATTTCGCCCATGGGCGAGAAAAAGGTTTGGCCCATGGGTAGGCCCATGGGCAGGCCCATGGGTAGGCCCATGGGCAGGCCCATGGGCGAGAATATCTTCCTTTACTTAAAACTCATGATTTTCTTTCGCAAATACATTAAATGTATTTATTGAAGTATCATGGCACAAAATTTAACTCATTTTAACTTAATTCAACGATTTTATAGCGATATTGAAATATTTCGCCCATGGGCGAGAAAAAGGTTTGGCCCATGGGCAGGCCCATGGGCGAGAATATGTTCCTTTACTTAAAACTCATGTTTTTGTTTCGCAAATACATTTAATGTATTCATTCAAGTATCATGACACAAAATTAAACTCATTTTAACTTAATTCAGCGATTTTATAGCGATATTGAAATATTTCGCCCATGGGCGAGAAAAAGGTTTGGCCCATGGGCAGGCCCATGGGCGAGAACATGTTTCTTTACTCAAAACTCATGTTTTTCTTTCGCAAATACATTAAATGTATTTATTCAAGTATCATGACACAAAATTTAACTAATTTTTACTTAATTCAACTATTTTACGGCGTTATTAAAATATTTCGCCCATGTTTTCGTCAGTCCCTTTCAAGCATCAACTAACTGTTTGCAAAGTTTATTGTATCATGTGAAATATACTTTATATTATATCATTACATTACTATTTAAAAAGGGCTTTTGGTTGGATGTTTCCTTTAGTTCTACAAATTTCACCTGTTTTACATATTGTAGCGATCTTTAATGAACCCGGCCTTACCTCTCAA